AGGCAGAGAATTAGGGTGCTAAGCCAACACATAAGGCTCAGTTTTGTTCCTAATTATCCTTAGGATTTCTGACACTCAAGCTAAGCATCTTTGACCTCATAGGCATCTTATTATTTTTTTTTTTTTGTCTATCTGGTCTGCCATGGGGTGAAATGATTTCACAGATCTCCTAGTAAACCCAATGCCCAGCATGTGATAGGAACAGAACTTTCGTTTTTCTCTTAAGGATGTGAATTCTTGCCTCTGTCATTTGTTTTATTCCAACAATAGCTAGACTGAAAGTTATTTTTGTTTAAATGAGCTTTCGTTACTATTCAAGGAGCCTAAATTATACCCTATTCATATTAGCTCAGTCCCTAGCTTTCAACTTGTTTCTCCAAAAAATAGCTCTCTTCTGGCCTCTACTGGTGTGAGAGTAGACAACTGCTTCATTAATTCTGCCCAAGGCATACTAAAGAATTCAAGTGTAAGGACTCTTGAAGTTCCTTAGGAACCATTCTAGGGTATTAATTTAACAAGATTAAGATGTATCTTATCGTGCTAGATATGGCAAGAGTAGATGGTAAATTTGAGATACAATCCAAATGCATAATTCTGAAGCACTATTTTTTTTAAAGATTTATTTTTATTATTTTTTCATTGGAAAGGCGGATATACAGAGAGGAGAGACAGAGAGGAAGATCTTCCGTCCAATGATTCACTCCCCAAGTGAGCGCAACGGCCGATGCTATGCCGATCCGAAGCCAGGAGCCTCTTCCGGGTCTCCCATGCAGGTGCAGGGTCCCAAAGCTTTGGGCCGTCCTCCACTGCTTTCCCGGGCCACAGGCAGGGAGCTGGAAGGGAAGCTGGGCTGCCGGGATAGAACCGGCGCCCATATGGGATCCTGGGCGTGCAAGACGAGGACCTTAACCACTTGCGCCACCACGCCGGGCCTGTGAAGCACTATTTTTCAAAGTAAAATTGATGGTTGTTAGGATCCAAGGAAAATACAGTAAAATTCTAGGTATTTCTCTTACCAATTAGATTTTTAAAAATTTCTTAAAAATTTTTTTCTAGCTATTTGAAAGGCAGACAGAGTTCACCTGCTGGTTTATTCCACCCTAGTTGGGGCTGAGCCAGGCAGCAGCCAGGATCCCAGAACCCTCCCACACGATGGTAGAGACCCAAGCATCTGAACCACCCATTGCTACTTCCCAGGGAGTACATGAGACACAGGGATCTTAGTGGGTATCTTAAGTGCTACACCAAACACCTACTAGGTATGCATCTTTAAACATTTGCTTCTTTGAAGAAAATTTCTCTCCATTTGCCTGATTCTGACACTGTATTTTGTATTATACCTGCTAAAGAATACTTAACAAATGTCTGTTAAATATGGTTTTTTTTTGGTAACTGAATTATGAATTAAAGACAATCTTGGGAGAAATACTGGTATGCTTGCTTAGCCAAGGCAGGAAAGGTGCTACTCACATGCTAAGAGCTGGATAATCAGCTGCATTTGCTTTCGGTTTAAATGTGAGACTTTAGGGCATGTCTTTGGTCTAACCTCTAGATGTACATGGCTTTCTATTCCGGAGTACCCAGCAGATGGGAGCTTTTCTCTCTCAAATAAGCAAGTGCATAAATCAAAACAAGAGAAAGAAATCAGAGGTTTTCAACTTTAAAAAGTTACGGGTTATCTGGAATTATATATAACAGTGGATGACATGTATTTGTATGAATACATTATCTGCCATGTAGAGTATATAAAAGCTTACAAATGTATAAGCCCCTTCACACACATTCTAGAGGTTACAAGGGTGGACAGTGTGTAGTGTTGGTGCTGTGTAATACCCATGAGATCACTTGGTCTAGCCATGTCAAGGACAACCATAGATGGGACTCAAAAATGTTTAAGTTAATAATTTCGTATGGTTCACAAATGTAAAATATAAATATCTGAACAGAAATATCCCAAAAGTTTCCCCACCCCTGTGAGGTCCTTGTCTCATAACTACCATTTTGCATTTAAATGCATCCTTCTAACAAGTGTTTTTTTTCAAGTGTCTATTTAATTGCTTCATTTAAAGGCAGAGTTGGTCAACAACAGTTTAAAAATGGAGAGAGATCAGTTCACTCAAACTCAGAATGACAGCATGAAATAAAACATGCTAGTTTCAAGTTATAAGGTTGTCAAACTACTTAAAGCTCAATCATACTGGAGATACACACAGCTCTCACTGATATGTGTTAGGCAAGGCCAGTCTCTGTGCCTTAGCCCCTCCATCCCTAAAGATGCACAACTCCCTTGCCAATGTAGCATACCCACTTTCCCATGATGCACCTGAGCCTTCAGTATGCAGCAGAAGCCATGGAAACCAAATGTATGTTAAGCTGTACGGGGATGGGCCATGAAACCTTCCCAGAGATCATCACATGCTGTGAATCTGCCTAACTGCCACCTATTTGCATATTCAATTAGGCCACCACCTAATGACAAGGAGGGTGAGCTAACTAGTATGGTTGTGATTCTCCACCATAAGGCTGCTCATTGCTGCCTCTGAGTATAGCTTCTCCTTACATAAATCCTGCTCCTGCACCTTATCCATACCCCTGGCTATGAATTCTTTCATGCTAAGGATGTGGAATAATCCCAGCTGGGGACCTCTTTGACCCCACAACATAATCATACATTCAGTGGTAACCTCTTCAAACCCAGGCCTCTTTCAAATTCCAGGCCTGTAAAAGCATGTTACGTGGGAAGTGAGCTCTGTTTCTGGAGTTAGACAAGAGGCAATTCTGATTCCAAAACTACCAGTTATTACAGCTGGTTAGTTCTGTGGTAATTTTGGCCATTGAGATGCAGGCAAAGCTATTGGGTAGGACTTCTTAGCATTTTTTTCCAAGGGACAAAAAAACATGGTATGTGCTTCCGCCACTCCTTTTCCCGTCTTACTTTGTATGGCAAGGACAGGAGAGTAAGGAGGCGGAGTTGTCTTGCGGCACACAGTATGGCAGAGTGGGAATCAGGGGGATGTCTGGGTCCTGGGTAGTACTGCACACTGAAACTGCTGACTGAGGTTATTGTCCGTGAAAAAACACAGCTAGTCATTTGTTGTAAAATTTGCCATTTTGGGGGATCCTTTTTTTCCCCCCCAGAAGCTTAATGCTATTCAATGATATATAAGTTCACAGGATTATGTGAGGATTGAAAATTAAAAATCTGGGACAGTACTTTGGTATGGCACCAGCGTCTCATATGGGCATTAGTTCCTGTCCCAGTGGCTCCACTTCCTATCAAGGTCCCTGTTAATGTACCTGAGGAAGTAGCAGGTGGTGGTCCAAATCCTTGGGACCCTGCACAAATAAGGGAGACCTGGAAGAAGTTCCTACCATCGGACGGGGCCAGTTAAGGCTACTGCAGCCATCTGGGTAGCAAACCAATAGATGGAAGATCTATTTCTCTTTCTCTGCCTTTCAAATAAAAATAAATAGATCTTTAAAAAGAAGAAAAATTGGGCCTAGCACCATGGCCTTGCAGCTAAAGTCCTTGCCTTGAATGTGCCAGGATCCCATATGGGTGCCAGGTCTAATCCTGGCAGCTCCACTTTCCATCCAGCTCCCTGCTTGTGGCCTGGGAAAGCAGTGGAGGACGGCCCAAAGCCTTGGGACCCTGCACCCATGTGGGAGACCCGGAAGAAGTTCCTGGATCCTATCTTCAGATCGGCGCAGCATTGGCGGTTGCGCTCACTTGGGGAGTGAATCATTGGATGGAAGATCTTCCTCCCTGTCTCCTCTCCTCTCTGTATATCTGACTTTGCAATAAAAAATAAATAAATCTTTTTAAAAAAAAAAAAAAGAAGAAAAATCTATGGGAAGAGTCTAACATAGTTCCTGATATGGAATAGGTGTCAAATAAATGGTTGTTATTGTTTTTGGACAATTAATTGACTGCTAGCAAAGAACTAAATATAATTTGAGGAGAGAAAATACTGAACAAAAGTGATAATGGGCTTTAAAAAAATTCAGAATCACAATCAGAGCCAAATATCATATGGAAGTGTCTGACAAGTAGATACTCAATATATATAATCTATTTTCCTATCTTGAGAACACAAACTGATGATATTCATTTGCATAAGAATGATCAACAAGGGAACTACACTAAGCAAGGAGGTTTTAGGAACTCTTGAGAAGTAAAAGTCATATCCATGAGATTATTTAGATTTTTTGACATTCCCTTCAGTGTTTTCTGTGTCCTTGCTTGCTTGTTACTGTAAAGTTATGCATCAATTAAAGGGATACATAAAGTCAACAATAACCAAGAAGCCTCTAGAAAAGGGGACACACATATGCCCATCCTCCTAAAGACTCAGACACCAGGTCCCAAAGGAAAACAAATTTGTTAAGCAGAAAAATCTATTTTAAGGGCAACTGGAAGCTCATAACATTAAATAATCAGGGAAATAACCCAACTGAACTTGAACACATAGGCAGAGAAGAATTCAACAAATTCATCTTGAAAATTGCACCAGAAAAAAAACAAGTATAAATGTGAAATATGTGAAGAGCTGGAATATTACAACCAGAGTATGGTGCTAATTTACAATATATGTGGGAAGAGGAAAAGGCAGATGTTTGTGACCCGCTTGAAAAGGAATTTACTACAGAGTAATGAGTATCTCATTTCAGCTCAACAAAAAAAGCTGGGGGACTATTAAATGGACTACTAAAACTTAAGACTTTTTCCCTAAGGGAGGATGGAGTAAAAAGAAGAAATGAAAGACAACAAATAACAGAATACAGTTACCTTATTTTCAAAACTGTAATTAGGTATTACTAAATAAAGTAAATAAACAACTCTTAAGTTAGAGTGCAAAATGAAAACACCTTCTTGTTTTAAAGGTGCAAAAGCAAGAAAATATAACACAAACATTTCAAACATTTTAAATAGTTGTGTGGTGAGTAAAACGCATTTAAAAACATTTTCAATAAAAAAAACTGATTTATAAGTCAACTTATAGGAGATCAAAAAAATCAATGTTTAATACCAACTATAAATAACTACAAAGCAAAAAATGTCCTCTAGTCTATTTTCGTTTCAACAACATCTATGTCTTCTGCTCTTTGCCCTTTGGAGAAAACATTACGTTGTAAGGCTGCCGTCTCTTGGGACGAGGACAGGGATCAAGCTCTTCCTTGATGTAACCTTAAAAAGAAATCACAAAATTTAGAAGACTATATTTGCAACATGCATTTCTCGGCAGATTTCCTGTAAACACCTTACTTGATGCCTTCTAAGTTGATGGGATTCTTTTGGATGTCAGCTGTGTGGTGCTAACCAACGAGCTGACCAGTTAGCATCAGTTTCCTCATTAACAACAGCAAACATTTACCACGCACTTTATTTTCTTTTGAAGTAGTTTCCATTAGATCTACGTCACAGATGAGGAGATGGAGCAGAGAGGTATTGAGGGGAGTGGAGGAGTCCTTTCTAGCAGCAGAATTGGAGCTCTCAGGAATGCCATGTTCCTATTCCACCTCTCAGAGGCAGAAAGTGGGGAAAGGGCTAAACAGGAACTCTAGTATGATCAATTCCAGGTACTTATCAAAGACTTTATAGAAGGCATACACTGGACAATGTGCTTCTCTACTCTTCAGGTGTATGCCATCATGTAATTTCTAGAAGATGATTAAGCTCTGTCATGTCCTAAGGTCACATTGCAGTAATAACCAGATGTCCTATCCAGACTGCCTGATTCTATAGGTTGACAAGGCAGAGAAATGTCATGCCAAAGGAAACTTAATCTAGCTTGTTAATGGCCAAAGTGGAAATGTGGTAAATATCCATTGGAAAGAAAAGGTGGGCATTGATCGCCTGGTTCAAGTCCTAGCTGCTCCATGCTTCTGAACCAGCTTCCTGCTAATGTGCCTGGGAGCCAGCGGATGATGACCCAAGTACTCGGGTTCCAGGCACTTGGATAGATTTCCTGGCTTCTGCCTGACCTCACCCTGGATTGTTGAGGGAGGGAACCAGTGCATGAAAACCTTTTGTTCATTCTGTCATGCTGTCTTTCAAATAAATTAAAAATCTTTGTTGGTAAAGATTTTTAGATATTTATTTGCAACTTACAATTATAGGTCTGAGACCTGAAGTCTAATTAGTTAAAATTTTTATAAATCTAGATATCAAATTATAAATGTTCTGATAGTACTATATTTTTCTAGTTACAGTTCAGAAGCCATGTCATGTTTTTGTAAAATTTCAGTATTTTAAATTTCAAAATAAGACTTAGCCTATAACTGGGTAATTTTTAGAACATGGGGAAACAGAAAACAAACAAACAAACAAAAAAACAAACAAAAAAAGCAACTGGGCCTGGCGGCGTGGCCTAGAGGTAAAGTCCTCGCCTTGAACGTGCCAGGATCCCATATGGGCGCCAGTTCTAATCCCGGCAGCTCCACTTCCCATCCAGCTCCCTGCTTGTGGCCTGGGAAAGCAGTGGAGGACGGCCCAAAGCCTTGGGACCCTGCACCCGTGTGGGATACCGGGAAGAAGTTCCTGGATCCTATCTTCGGATCGGCATAGCATTGGCCGTTCCATCATCAGATGGAAGATCTTCCTCTCTGTCTCTCCTCCCCTCTGTAGATTGACTTTGTAATAAATAAATAAATCTTAAAAAAAAAATCTTAAAGCATCCCCCCATCTACCTACTCCCTATGGGGAGTAACATCTTAATTTCAAACTATTAGACGGCCAGATACATTTCCCTAGTATGCGATTTGCACAACAAAGGGCTTGTGAGTTGGACACTGTTTATCTGATAACTCTATTAAGGTTATGAACTCTTGGCAGTTAAAGCAACTCAGCAGACGAAGACCTCTCTCTTCCTATTGCTCTTTCAAATAAACGATAAACACTTAAAAAAAGTCCTAGCTGAATTGAAGGTAAGTCTTTTATTTTTAGGGATTTTGTCTCATTAGAAGATTAGCACCCAGACTTGTAGAAGACAGAACAGATTAGCGATCAGACAGGAGTATATGCAATATTTAAAAAACTTCATTCTAAATAGTTACAATCTAGTCTCACCTCGTTCCATACAAGTTTGAGTGGAAGGAAAACCAACTTCCCAGAAATTCTCTGGTGTGCTGGGTGGAATGTAACGAAATCGGTGTCTTGAGCAGGAAGCCAACTTCTTTTCTCTTTCTTCCGGGGGCAAATCTGAATAATACTAACAATAAAAGTTGGTAAAATCTTTTCACTTAGGTACAATAAATGAAGTGTTAACCTTACTGATTATAAATTAGAAGCCCGAAAAGCCATTTATTAAAATACTCAATTTCTAACGAAACTTAATACTGATATATGTGCCGACCACTGGTCTTGAAAATGTTTACTTTACAGGTGAGAAAAGGAGTTGTATCACAACAGAAATTAATGTGCTGCTATCTTCACCAATAAAGTCTTGCAACAACAAGGAAAAAGGCCGACTGAACATCACAATGTGCTAATGACACAACTAATTCACATATTGATATAAACTGCTCATCTTTTGCCAGATTAGAAACAAATCTGAATTTTTATAGTTGGTATCTGGATATATGTTTAACTTTTTTTCCTTTGTAAGATTTAGAAAAAAAATCAAAAATTTATTTGATAGGCAGAGACAAAGGTTTTCTATCTGCTGGATTATTTCCCAAGTGTCCACAAGAGCTGGGACTGGACAAAGTTAGGAGCTTGGAACTCGATCCAGGTTTCCCACGTGGATGGCAGGGATCCAACTATTGGGGCTGCCACTGTTGCCTTCCAGGCTGGGCATTAGCAGGAGGCTGGAGTGGGGGAGCAGAGTACTGCCTGGGACTGGCACTCAGGCACTCTGGTATCAGATGTGGGCATCCCAAGTGCTGTCTTAACTGTTATGCCAAATACTTATCCCTCAAAGTAATTTCTGTATCTCTACAATTCTTTACAATAAAGATTTATGGGGCAGGCATTGTGGCATAGCACTTCCAGCTGCTATGCCCATGTCCCACGTTGGAGTGCTGGCTGAGTTCTATCCAGTGTTCCAGTTCAGCTTCCTGAGAGGCAGCAACGATGGCTCAGGGACCCGGGTGAGCCTCTGCACCCATGTGGGAGACACGGAATTTCAAGTTTCTGGTTTTTGCCTGATCCAGCCATGGCTATTGAGGGCATCTGGAGAGAGAATCAGCAGATGAAGATCTCTCTCTCGGTCACTCTGCCCTTTCAAATAAATAAACTTAGAAAAAAAAATTGACCAACAGTTGACCAACAAGTTAGAAAAAGATTTGAATGTTGTAGGTTTTGCTCTTTTTCAGTTGGTTTTTAAAATTAGGATCAAAGGGATAATGTTTCATTATAACATTATATAAAAAAAAAAAGAACTACGCACAAATAAGAATGAAGCCTGTCTGTAAACTGAACAGGTCTTCAGGCTCTAGAACTGAAGAAAACAAAGCAGTGGTTTAAAAGTTAACAGCACATGACCGACGAGATCTCATAATGTGGTCAATTTCTTGATTCTACATTTAAGAAACTGAAAAAGTGATAACTTAAAATACCACTTACTGAAAGTGACAGACTTTGGAGTAAAATGTAAATGTGGAGTATAGATTTTAACAAATCTTTTATTCTACAAAGCTGAAAGCCTTCAGAGATTCTTTGCTATCATTCTCATTGCCCTAAGTGTAAGTCTTCAGTCTATGTTTTGGATGAGGTAATCTTTCAGTCATGGCTTACTAGAAAAAAACATTACTATCGTGAAAGATACTGAAGCAATAACAGAAGGCAAGTACAGCTGTAACAGCATACAAACAGGACAGTGGAGGAATATGTTCAGAGGGAAATGGGGTGTCAAGTTTGTTGTCCTGGCTCAGGAGCTTGAACTTACTTTTCAGTGAGCTGGGAAGACACACAGGGCTTTGTGTAAGACACAAAAGTGACATTATTTAACATTTATTCCAAAAAAATCATCAAGAGAAAAAAGACCATGGCTATGTTTAAAGTTCATGGTAAAGAGATCAAGTGAAAAAGGAGAAGGGAAGCAGAAGGTATGGGAATACTGTGCTTAATGTTGAGCTTTCCTACGAGCCTAAAAATACTCCACAAAACAAACTTTACTAAAAAACAGAGAGAGACAAGGGGAGCACCGACAATCTCTGCACAGCCCAGGGGAAAAAAACCGGTGTTAGTGGTGGAGATAATGAGTAGATGAAAATGGAGGCTGTTTTGAAGGTAGATTCAATGGGATTTGCTGTTTAATTGAGGAGATGTGAAAAACCTTCCAGTGAAACAAGGGGACGAATGGCAACTGAGTGGTGACATCTGCACGAGGGACACCTGGAATCATCATCACACATCTGCATGAGAATTACACATTCTACATGTTGCACAGGGGACAATATTTGGGAACTGTAAGTATAAAAACAGTATTAAGCGCACAGGATTGGTGCTTTCAATTGTGGCTATCATGAAGCGATACAGAAAAGATTCACTCTAGGAAAACTAAATCAGATATGCAAAACAATGTTTTTTTGAAACTGAATAATAGCACAGGCAATGATTACTAACAAAAGCCAATTTAACTGTGTGTCTAGCACAAGAGTTTAAAAAATACGTTCTAGATCACAGCATATTTGTTATAAGTAAAAACTGGGGATTTACATATATAGATGTTTTCAGTTAAGAAATCATGAATCATTCAATTGATATCACAAAAAGATCATGATACAGGTAACTTTGCTTTTATTACTATCCTGCTTTAAAACAGTGATTCCAATTCATACTGCTAGCATGTAAGACTATTTCTTAAATCAAGAACTCCTTCAGTGCATTTTGCTTATCCTTTCTCATAATATTTTGGTATGTTTGATTATCCAATTTTTTAGCCCAGAGTTGTTAAAAAAAAAAAAGGAAATTTAAAAGGGGAAGTAAGTTGCAGCAGACATGCATCTGAAAGTTATGGTACAGCAGTGGGAAATATGAAAATAGCATGTCTCAAGAGAACACAGAATCTGCTTGAGAATTTAATAAGAGGGGAGTTAGCAGTGTCTACATCTATATCTAAGACAGTCAGTGAGTGTATGAGAGGAAAGATTTGAATGCCTTACACATGTTGTGAAGCCTACTCATCACATTTTCTTTAGGAAGAAAACAATGAAGGAAAAACACCTAGAGCTCCTGGTGGCACCATTTACCAGAAAGCAAAAACAAAAAACCCTGTGGGTACATTTGATGTCCTGTGTGCTGCTAGAAGGATACAGTAAATTTCCTACTGAAATACAGGAATCTTGGTTACACAAAGGGGGAAAAATTAAGGCAAATACAGAAAGGAAACATGGTATGGATGTCTTACTCTGGATGTAAAAAGTAGGGCTCACGTGCCACATCCACCTAACCCAATAGAAATGAGGGCTTTCATTTTCATCTATTTGGATCTCTCAAGGCCGCAGCCAGTATACAATTTACTCCAGTTGTTATTCTTGGTTCAACCAAAGTTTCTAGTTGCAAATATGGTTTGTACTTGTGATTTTTAAATCATGTATTGAGATTTACAAAGACATGCTTTAAAAAACTGAATGGTGTTTACATTAATACTTACAATTTCACACTCTTTACAAGTGTGCCCAAGCAATTTTCTTCTCTCATCTTTTTTACGAACCACCTCAATATGAGGAAAATTTGGTAAGCCAGTTTCTCTGGGGAAAAAACAAGAAGACTTAAATGATTTTACTTACGACTTTTCAGTTCTACTTCTAAGAATCTGTTCCAAAGATGTAGAGGCAAAAATATGTTAAGAGAATGTGCAAACGTATTCATTGGCACACTATGTGTGCCCGCATAACTGTAAACAATCCAGGTGCCCAGTGCAAGGAAATAAGCTATGGTATAATCACAGCATGAGGTACTATGTAGCTCAAAAAGAAACAAGGGATCATATATAATTCGTGTATTTTAAGGATAAACAGTTAAGTGAAAAAAGGAAAGAAAGATACATATGACATTTTATCATTTATCTAAGGGAGAGGATAGGAATATATAATTATACACACACACACACACACATATATACACTTGCTTTAAGATAGAAGAAAAATTTCTAACATAGGGTTACCGATAGGAATATGGGACTAATAGGGCAAAGAGGACAAGGACAGAAGGTAGATTTATCTGAATAAACCTTGTTTTGTTATCTCTGGTATAGTACTCATATTTTACGTGATTTTAAAATGAATTTTTAAAAATTCCTAAAACATAAAAAACAACATAACCCTGAGTACTATGTGAGTGGCACAACTGTAAGCAAAGCAATAATGCCAAATTATTTCAAACAAAGTAATTTGTTCATTTCTCAAAGGTTAATATTTATCTTAGATACAAAAAAAGGCCTCATTCTCATTAGTCATCTTGTTGGTGGCAATACTAAATTACTTCCAGACTATGCTATGCTTACTCTGCAAAATAAAGTATATTAAGGAATTATGTAGGTAGTGCTGAGAAGTGTGATGTTTTCAGTAAGCAGGAAAATACACAGATGTTCGACATAAAAAAGCTGTATTTTGATTGTAATCCTGAATTTGATTGGCAGTTGTATCAACAGACACCTTAAAAAACCACAAACACACACAAGAGCAAAATAGCCTATTCTAAACTACCCACTTACTAGGTCTAAAAGCAGTGACCAATCCTAGCTGGCCAGGAGCATCTACTGGCCAGACTGTCACCTAGATACCATTTCTCAGAAACAGGAACCTGGCCCCTGGAGAAATGGCAGAGTCCAAGCCTACACCAGGGAGCGAACATAGGAGCTGCGACACCGTCAGACCAAGGCAATATACATCAAACAGGTTCTCTGGGGAAACACTTGTGACAATTTGAGTAGAGCTGTTCCCCTCCATCTATAGTTTCACTTCCAGAGGTTTCCATTATTTGCAATAGCCTGAAAATATCAAGTGAATTATTTCAGAAATAAACAATTCATGAGTTTAAACTGTGCTATTCTGAGCAGTGTGGCAAAATCTCATTTGATCCTGCCTAGGACATGAACTGTTGCTTCATTCAAGCCTGTGCACACAGTGGACACATATGGTAGATCCTCCTGGCCCACTACTCAGCAGCTGTCTTGGTTACCAAATGGACTATTGCAGAATCACATACTGCTTGTGCTCAAATAACCCTTATTTTACTTAAGAAATGGCCCCCCAAGTACTATAGTAATGATTGTGGCAATTCAGGTGTTCTAGAGAGAGGCTATAAAAAGTACTTGTTTGAAGTTGAAAAACTGAAAGTTTATTATGGGTAAGCATGCTTAGAAAAAACATGTATGATTTGGTATGGCTTGCAGTTTTTCAGGCATTTTTGGAGAGTTTTACAATATATCCCATGCATAAGGGGTTCCTACTGTATCTACAGAAAAAATACTGCAAAAGTTTAAAGCATATCAAATATATTTAAATGAGTTTATAATGACATAATAAATAAAAAAAGGATCTAGTCACATTTGAGATTCTAGCAAATAATTTCTTTGAAAAACTGAGATAAATTGACACTTAACAACAAAAACAACAGCTTTTAATTATTGGAGCCTTACAAAATTAATTTAGACTACCAGACTTCTAAAATTCCCAAAAGAAACACAGTATAAAGAACAACTTTACTTACTGAGCAAACCAAACAGCATAACTTCAAGAATTCTAATGAATTATTATTCTTAAGATTTATTTTTATTGAAAAGATAGATCCAAAGAGAGAAGGGGAGACAGAAAGATCTTCCATTTGCTGATTACTCCCCAATGACCACAATGACTGGAGCTGAGCACATCTGGAGCCAGGAGCCAGGAGCTTTCTCCAGTGATCCCATGTGGGTGAGAGTCCCAGGATTCTGGGCAATCCTCCACTGCTTTCCCAGGCAACAAGCAGGGAGCTGGATGGGAAGTGGGGCAGCTGGGACATGAACCAGTGCCGACATGGGATTCTGGCACTTGCGATCGGAGGATTACCTAATTGAGCCATTGTGCTGAGCCCTTAATGAATAATTTGAATTCATTTTAGATATGAGCAGTATATACATGACGATAAAAGGCTTATTAAAAATTTGTATAGGGCTCAGCATGTTGGTCTAGTAGACAAATCCTTGCCTTGCAAGTGCCAGATCCCATTTAAGCTCTTGTTTGGGATCCTCCACTTCCCATCCAGCTCCTTGCTTGCGGCTGGGAAAGCAGGAAATGAGGACCCAAGACTCTGGGCTCCTATCGCTCCTGTGAGACACCTGGATGGACTTCTAAGCTCGTGGCTTCAGCCAGCCCAGTCATGACTATTGTGGCCATTTGGGGAGCGAATCCCTGGATGAAAGATGGAGATCTCTCTCTCTCCCTCTCTCTCTGTAACCCTTCCTTTTCAAATAAATAAATAAAACTTTAGGGAAAAAATTCCAAAGCTTATATAATTCCAATAACAACTTAAAGCTCAACACTTGAAGGCTTATATACATGAAAGCGTATACCATAAATTCTCAAAATTCAAAATAAAATAGAACAAAGCTAAACCATTTGTTATAATAAAGCAGAGAATATAATTTGCTATTAAAAATAATGGCATTGATGCTAAAAATGTTCTTATTTGTGAAATTCATCATTTTTATGTTTGAGTTTCTTTTTTGTTATCACCGTAAGTTAAGCGTTACTGTTTCAGCCAAAGCAGGAGGACAGTCTTGTTATACTTCAACTCACCTTGTTGCTATTAATTAAGACCAACTTACCTATCATCTTTACAATAGGGCTCCACATATGCTTTCTGTTTAATTTTGTCTTGTTTATCATCATGACCTGTGAATAAGCAAACATAGCAAAACTAGTATAGAATTGACTTAATGAGAAGCAGCTAGTCTCTTTGGGAAAAAAAATGACGTGTAGCCAAATTTCCCTTGTACTGAGTCTCACAAGATGCATTCCCGAACCACTCAGTTTTTCTGCAACTATATTTTGTTTTCTTTTTCATGTCTCATCAAGAGGTTGTTGGTTGTCCCACTTACCTTAGATTCACTAAATAGCTAAAAAAAAAAATCATATCTCATTAGGTACTTTTTACTTTAAAAAGACCTATACTTAACACAGCGTTGGTACATTTCTTTTTTTTTACAGCTTTTTTTTTAAAGATTTATTTATTTATTGGAAAGTCAGATATACAGAGAGGAGGGGAGACAGAGAGGAAGATCTTCTGTCTGCTGATTCACTCCCCAGGTGAGCACAATGGCCGATGCTATGCTGGATCCAAAGCCAGGATCCAGGAACTTCTTCCGGGTATCCCACATGGGTGCAGGGTCCCAAGGCTTTGGGCCGTCCTCAACTGCTTTCCCAGGCCACAAGCAGGGAGCTGGATGGGTAGTGGAGCTGCCGGGATTAGAACAGGCGCCCATATGGGATCCCAGCGTGTTCAAGGTGAGGACTTTAGCCGTGAGGCCATGCCGCCGGGCCCGGTACATTTCTTTTGAAGAGCTGGTTCTTGGAGTCTGTATCTCATTTCTGACCTCCAATTTGTCACCAGTTTTATGATGTTATTTAATAGCAATCCTTATTAAATAGTAGCTGCTCAATACTACCATAAACTTTATAAATTGTAGTATTAAGTCAGAGTAATTTGTTAGTTCTTGCTGTGGATTGAACAAGTTATGGCTCTTGACCTCATCCAGATGGTTAAATTCTATCCTTACGTTGATGGTGCCTGGAGGTTGGAAACACTTCTCCAATCAGCAGGAGGTTCAGAGGTCGGTGGTTGCACACCATGAAAGGGATGGTCTACAAGCCTGAGCCAGGTCCAGCTACTCTCCCTATTTCCTGGTCTGCCACAGGACTGTTCCTCCACATTTGGCCAACCACTGCCAGCCCCCAGTCACCAGATGATTAAACCAGTAGGACTCAGTCAGTGCTCAACCATAGCCTCTAAAACTCTGAGTAGAAATAAGCCTCTCCTTTCCTCCCTCTCTCCTTCCTTCCTCAGTTGACTTCTCTGAAGCATTCTCTTGCAGTAATGAAAAGCTAACTAACGAAGTTCTGATAAAAACTTCATAGCTATGGAAGAGCTAACATCAGGAGAAGCTAAAAATCTTCTACAATAAATATGAATCCTTTATTCTTAATCTACCTTTCCAAGTCTCCTAAGACTTAACTTAGCCAGTGTAACTGAGAAGCAATACAGAGCAAGCAGCCTTACCGTTCGGTTTCCTTTTAGTCACAGGCAACTCCTCTTCCTCTTCAGCTATCTGCGGGGAACTAGCTGCCAAACAAGACTCGTACTCTTCATGTGCTGTCCGATCAAACATATCTTCCAAGCTATCATTCATGTTTCTTTCTCCATCTAGGACAAAGAGATGTTTGTCGTGAAGTGTTCACAGACATGTGTAAAAGATGTGGTTGTAAGCCAGCTTGTTAAGAATGTTAATTTAGTGAATATATGGACAAGCTGTAATTAATGTAATAAAGTGTTTGTTAGCATCTTAAATCGTGATTTTTACAGTGCAGCTTTCTTATTACTCATGCATTAAGGCAACAACAAACCCCCAAATCTGGGTAGTCACCCCCAAATCTGGGTAGTCACTGTATATTTGTAAAGACTTTATGCTAACACTTTTAATCTCCTTTACTTGTGTGAAGAGAATGCTTTGTTACAGACATATGTCTCTCACAAATAAGTTTTTCTTCTATCCTTAGTATGTAATTCACCCTAAATTTAAAGTAGTCATATATCATCAAAGAAACTGCAAGAAGCAGAATACATTATAATGAATGATGAAATACTTTTTAAATAAAAAAGTATGACATGACTGACACTACACTTCAACGGAAATTTGTTTGTCTGCTTATTCGTAAATACTTTATTTTCACTTTATTTAAAAGGCAGAGAGACAGAGACAGATCTTAATTTTGCTGGTTTATTTCCCCAATATTTGTAGTAGCTAGTGTTAGGCCAGGCTAAAGGAGCCCAGCTAGAACTCAATCCAGGTCTCTCACATGCATAGCAAGGGCTCAAGCACTTGAGCCACCACCTACTGCTTTCCCAGGATGTGAGTCCGCAGGCAGCTGCATAGAATGGAAAAGTGGTTGGGACTCAAACCAGGCACACTGAAATTGGGTCAAGTGTCCTGAGTGATGACTTAAACACTGTGCCAAACATCTGCCATTCCTTCTAGTTCTCTATTTATTTAATAAAGTAGCAAAAAAGTATTTTCTTGTATTATCATTAATACTTGGCAATTTAATACTGACATAACAACTTCAACATCTTTTTGATATGCCAAAGTGCTAAATTCACCTTAAGAAATGTAACTCTTATTTCCTACCAGATAAAAATTTTAAAAACAACAAAGTGTAAGAAATACCAGAAATATATACAGCTGGCTAACAAATATATAGAATAAAATCCTACTACGATAACTCTAAATAAAATAACAGGTGCCCCTCCCAGTCCAGCGATCCTTCTGTCTTATCCCACTTAGCCTTTCTCCCAGGCTCATTATTACCTATCACACCACATACCTGCTAGTTTCTCCCTGTCATTGGAATGTTAAAGTTGTACAAGGTGGGCACTTTTGTTGTGTTTAGTCATCATCCTCAGTTCCTTGAATATTTTCTGGTACAGAAGTTTTGTTTGATATTTACTGAATGATTAAACACTTCTTTAGGAGCAGGTGTCTAGTACAACATTAAGATGCCCCTTGGGGCACTGACTCTTGTTTCACTCATTTTTATTTGAAAGGCAAATTAACAGAGCAGGTGTATGAGTGAGGGAAACACATTTCTTCCTACTGCAATGGTGTGGTAATAACGTTCCCCCCTACATTTTCATTAAAAATAAAGAAAAAACATCTTACTTGGACTTTTTCCTCCCTGCTGCTCTTGCTTCTTCATTTTTAAAAGTATACTTTCACTAACCAACGTACAGTCCATGTCTACTGTTTCACCTCCTAATCTCGGCTCACTGCCATCCTGGAAAAACATTAAAAAAAATCTACAATTTAAACAATTATCTACTCATGGCTTTACATTTATTTTACAAAGACTGATAAAATAAATAACATAAATCTTACTTTTTTAAGAATGAAGTCCTATTCACATTTATACTTTAGGAACTGATATGAACCTATACAGAATAGGTTTATTCTATAATACTGTAGCTTTAGTATACCAGCACTGCCTCTCCAGCTTAGGCAAAGGACGGCTGTCAAGCCGACACCACACTCCCTTGAGCTTTTGCTGTCTTTCTTCAGCAATCTGCCTCATGGTAATATCAGTGTACACTATGAGCAACAATTTAAAGAATCAAATTATTTCTTTCTTGGTATATATTACTCTATCACCTGTCAAAATAATTTGTTGCTAATATTCTACTAAGTCAGACTACAGAACTTAACCATACAGCAAAACACATTTTTAGTACAAGTTTTAATTGGCAATATGAATTTTCATCTTCAAATTCTTTTACGTCACAACTAACCAAAGGCAAATGATAAATTATTTGAATAAAATTTATTTTAGATATATGAATAAAACTGCATTATTTATAAAACTATGTGAGTGTTTTTTAGAAGTCTTTAAAGAAAATACTGCCCTTCCAAAAATACAATAAAGTGGGAAAAGCAAGCATCTTGATTTTTTGTTTTCTGAATAAGTAAATGTAGCTTTTGAGAGATACCCGATGATCCCAAAGTTAGAGTGAATCAAGAGGCGGTGAACCAACCACTTAGCAGAGTAAGAACCAAATGGGCTTCGGTTTTACTTTTCACTTACCTTTGTATCGATAACAGTAATATCCATTTTATACTGAGAAAGCTCTGCTCCTGGATCTATACTCCACTGGATGTTTTCAAAGGATACATCTTAGATAAAGAGGGAAAAGTATGTAAAAATTCTCATCATTTAAAACATTATAGACCACAGAATGATACACATGGAACATCTATCACATGTCTGGTAAAGGACTTTATCTAGGATACATAATTAACTATCACAATACACTAACAAAAGTTATAAGTGTCCCAATAAAAGATGGGCAAAGAATCTGAGCAGTTCTTCAAAAGACAAATGAACAGCCAGCAGGTACATAAGATGCTCAACATCAATTGCCCTCAGAGAAGCATAAGACCACAGTGTGATACATAACCGTTAGCAACCATGTAGAAAAACTGGTGGAATGTGAAAACATAGCTGCTTTGGAAAACATTTGAGGCAGTCCCTCACAAGGGTTAACAGAGTTATCTAATAGTCTAGCAACTTCTCTCCTGGGCAGAACTTAAGAACTTCAGAAATATGAAAACTCATCTAAACAAAAACTTGTACATAAATGTTCACAGCAAAACTATTCATAATGGCAAAAACATAGAAATAACCTAAATGAAAGGGTAAATAAAATACAACAAATTGTTCTTCCGCAATTACAAGAAAACATTAATATGTTACAATACAGACAAAATGGATAACAACATGCCAAGTGGAAGATCACTTTGGAGCACAAACTGGATGATTCCATTTATATGAAAGCTCTGGGATAGGCAAATATATAAAGACAGAATCTAGATTAGTGGTACAAAGCTTTGAGAAGGAGAAGCAATTAGAAAATAACAAAACGTTCTTTTCAATTTAGATCATACTGATGGTTGTACAACTCAGTGAAAATACCAAATCCTATGAACTGGATTTTCCTAAGTGACTTATGATATGTAATTTTTATGTCAACAAAAACATTTTTAAAATAAAGCTAAAATTATAATGCTGTTTGGAGGGGCTTTTAAATGTATTTCTAAATAAAACATGATAACTATGTAAATGTATTTACAGTGAAATATTACAGCCGAAGAGTTTGAGTAAGATTAAGTAGTTATTTTGTAATTCCTAGAGGAACCATGAAATTAATAAAAACAAAGGGCAGGTGTCTGGTGTAGCAGTGAAGCCACTGCTTAGCAAATGTACATCTCACACCTGAGTGCCTGGTTCAAGTTCCTGCTCCTCTGGTTTGGTTCCAGCTTTCCTGCTAACGTGTAGCATGGCAGGTGACAGAGATGGCTCAACTTCTTGGGTCCCTGGCATCCATGTGGGAGACTCAGACTGAGTTCCAAGTTCCAGGTGTTGGTCTGGTCTAGCCTTAGCTTTTGTGGGAATTTGGGGAATGAATTAGTAGAAGGAAAACTTGTGTTTTTTTTTTTTTCCCTTGCAGTTTCAAATCAACATGAAAATTAAAGTTTAAAAAATAATAAAAACAAAAAGCTAAAAAAAACCCTTGTGAATGAGTTGTTAAATAAAAATGTTTTCATGCAGAGCCCAAAACTATTATTGGAAGAACAATGAAAATTATGTGCTTTGGGGGGGGGGGGGGAAATCCAGGACAAACAAATAAACCTATCGGGGAAGGACAAGTGAACAAGAGAAATGTCTGGTAGCTGAAAAAAACCAAAGGACTCTCAAACACACCAGAAGTATGAAACAATTCATATAGAGATGAAAGCAAACAATGCTTTCAATCAAGAACTAAAGAGCCTCTTAATATATAAATGCATTGGGCCCCCACGGTGGCGCAAGTGGTTAAGGTCCTCGCCTTGCACGCCCGGGATCCCATATGGGCGCCGGTTCTAATCCCCGGCAGCCCCGCTTCCCTTCCAGCTCCCTGTCTGTGGCCTGGGAAAGCAGTCGAGGATGGCCCAAAGCTTTGGGACCCTGCGCCCCCGTGGGAGACCCGGAAGAGGCTCCTGGCTTCGGATCAGCATAGCATTGGGCGTTGTGCTCACTTGGGGAGTGAATCATCGGACAGAAGATCTTCCTCTCTGTCTCACCTCCTCTCTGTATATCTGACTTTCCAATAAAAATAAATAAATCTTTAAAAAAATATATATATAAATGCAAGTGCTGACAGACACATCTGTGAAGGCCAACAAGGATCAGTCACTCACAGGGTGAGCAAACGAAGAAAACTCTATTATTTTTAAAAATTTTGTGTAGTTAATTTTTAGCCTTGTTTAAAAAATTAAGTGAACTACCAAAAAACCAAAAACAAATGAACTTATAAAATCACCTATAAAAGTAAGTAGCAAAAGATTGCAATCCTTTTTCCCAAAAGCATAAGAGCAAAAAAATCACAGGTAAGTGCAATGAATGAGAATTATGCTGGGAATTCAGGCTCATGCAGGAAGAAGCCAGGATTTTTTTTCTAAAACTCAGTGTATTCCAATTAACGTAAGGCATCTCACAGCTCAGGTCATGAGAAGTGTGAACTCCTGCTCTAGTGCACACACCTTGGTGATTCTGCAGAGGCTTTGCTTTAGCAATTCTGCACGGATTTAACTGAAGAACTGACGCAAGTTCACATCCTCCTTGGACGGACCTATTTTTTATTCTTATTGGCTCATGAGAACCTGCACCCTGAAAAAAGAAACGATTATTAGCATCTAGATGAAACCATAATCCACTATTTTAACGAAGATCCTTGAACACTTACACAGACCTTCATGTCATCGAAAACATTTTCTGTTTCTAAACTTTCACGTGGACGTGGAGGAATTTTGAAGACAGGATTTTCTCCTTTGACCTGTAATGGTGTTTTATGGTCTGGAGAAGAGTCACCCACGGACTGGAGGCTGCACTCCTGTGAACAGGACTCTTCTGGGGAGTCTTTGGATCCCCCGGAACTCCCACCCAAAGGCTTGCAGCTGGAGGAGGAGCCCTTTGGGATGGGCTTCAAGGCCTCATACAGAGTCACTTGTCGCAGTCTGTTTTTAGAAGTCTCATTTCCTTGGCTTCGCTCTTGACGATGAATAGCTGAAAACCGATCTGACAGATCCAGGGGTTTATCCATCACATAGTCCCCGTTGAAGGAAAGCTGACTATCCATTGGAAAAGGAAAAGCATTTTCTTTATCAAAACAGGCTGGGGGGCAGCTGACTTCATGTTCATTTTCCTCCTCAATTTTCTTCCTTTTGGGTGCTCTGCCTCCCAGTGATTTCAAGCGCACCAAAGGTTTATCAGCAACAGAATCTTTAAATTGATGCGTGTTATCCTGTTCACCGGTGGATTCACCTACATTTTTGTTTAAAAGTATCTGCTTGTTAGCAGAGGGCTGGTTAATGACCTTGGTCACTTCAGACCCGAGGCTATGATGCGTGACAAGGACACTTTCTTCAGATTTTGATCTAGTTTTCTCTGGTCTTGGAACACAAGCACTGTTAAAAGGGGCCATTTTCAGATGGGTTTTTTTCCCAGTCTCTAAAAGAGAAGGGGATAGACTTGTATTTAAACTTAAATTAGTTTTCACATTAGAGGTAGCGCCAAAAACAGGAGATGACACCCGAGTAGACAATTCTTCTTGGGAAGCAGTCTTTGAAGTAGAATCTGAAAACCTAAACAAATAAACAGTTATAAGACTTTCCTTTGCCACTAAAGAAGTAGGGCAAATATTAAAAGAAAACATATAGTCATCTAGAAAATTGTATAATAGAGGCTATCATATTGAGATGTGAAGATAAAATGCATTATGCACCTCTACTTCCAAATCAAAGATGAACTCCCAATGAAACTGTTAAATATATCTTGACAATAGGAATGCTGGACTTTCTGCCATTGTCTATACCTACAATACACTTAAATAGCCAAATGATGGACTTATGATTTCTTTTGAAGGACTATAACACAGGGAAAATCAGTGTATGTGTGTGTGTGTGCGTGCACGTGCGCATGCTCAGGGAAATTAGGAAAGGAGATTTTCTGGAGCCTATGGAACTGTATCATAAAATAAAGAAAAAGAATTAAAAAAGTGCAATGAGAAAACCTTTGTTAACACAGATTTAACAATAGTGTCTATCAATTAGAAGCAGATGATTAACTAAAATTCAAGACAGGAAATAGCTGTTGGTTTCTCTTTATTTGACAGGAGAAAAGCAGATAAAATGACACAGGAAATGTCTCAATATCATAACACTTCTATTTATAAAATTCTTTCCTCTAATTAAAGTAACTTCATTATACATGAAAACCTTATTTTAATAAATCCTACTGAGGGTTCAGGCTCAAATTCTTACAATACATAACAGAACGTAAGTTAAGACCCAGCCTGTCCCTAGTAGAGAAGGTAACTGTAAAAAGTTTAAGTCTGAAGATGTGAGCTACGTGCTGGCACTTAATAGTAGCAGACTTTTAAAAAGACATTTAACCACTATGGAGCTATGTTTCTCTTATCTCTTAAAAAAATGGGTATAGTAAACCTCCTTTAGTGAGTCACTATGACATATTAAACATATGTATCTAAAAACCCAAAGCTATTAAAAGAAGCAAAATGTTCACATAATTAATGGGTGTTCTGAAATTAGGAAAACTGAGTTGGAGCACAATCTTAGAAGAATACCCAGGCATACAGATGCATCTGTACAACAGATTTTGGAAACACAAACCCAAAAGGGACACTTGGATCTTCAAAGAGGCAGAATATCAAGGCTGGGAATTTAAGTATTGCTTGACAGATATACAGAAAGTATCCACAAATAACATCCACTTCTCTTCTGCCTGCAGTTAAGACTCTCCACTGGCCATAAATTGGAGAGATATTTTTAAGATAAAAATTAGTGTAACCAGAATAACAAACTATATGGCAAGGGAGTGAAGTGGTTTAATTATATGGAACGCACTGTAATGGGACCTCACAGATTTTCACCAGTGTCTGAAATTACCTTAGGTGATCTTCACTATTTCCCGAAGATTCCTCAAAAGTCTGTTTCTTGTGATCTCCTTCCAGACAGAGGTAAAGCTCATCAGCAACAGGGCTCATGTGACCTTGAGATTCCTTCAATAATATGAAGCATATTAATATAGTGCATTATAAGACAGGATAAAGTAACAAACCAACAAAAGCTACCATGTGAGTGAACCTGAAAATACAAAAAAGGAAAAAAGACTCAAGTCATGCAGTGTACATTTCATTTATATGAAATACTTAAAATGGAGCAGAAAGGTAGTCCCAGAGCTTGCAAATCAGCAGGGACTGGGAACTGAGGGTTACCATGTATAAAGTTTTCCTTTGGAGCGATAAAAGTCCTTTGGAATTAGAAGTCAAAGTTGTACAATATTGGAAATGTTCTAAGTGTACAGGTTAAATAATTTTATGCTACATGAATTCAAGCACAATAAAAAAATAGGTACATTTTATGAATAAAGAGAAAAGCAGTATTATTCCAATACTATACATAAATATATTCTCCTATTGATAGAATATTACTAAGATGAAAAGGGGTCGGCATAGTTGCATAAAAGGCTAATCCTCCACTTGCAGCACTGGTATCTTATATGGACACCAGTTCGTTCCAGCTGTTCCACTTCTGAGCCAGCTCCCTGCTAATGGCCTTGGAAAAGCAATGGATGATGGCCCAAGTTCTCAGACCCCTGGAAAAACACGGAAGACAGGAAGAAGCTCCTGGCTCCCACCTTTGGACTGATCCAGCTCTGACCATTGCAGCCATTTGGGGAGTGAACCACTGGATGGAAGATCTCTTCCTATTCCTTTCTAACTAACTCTTGACTTCCAAGTAAAATAAGTCTTAAAAAAAAGGATGAGAGGAGTAAAAATATACTGATGAGCAAGCAATGAATCTAAAAAGATCCTATAGGGAGGAGTGTGTCTCAAACTTTAAATGCACAGAAGTCAACTAGTGATCCTTATAAAGTTTAAGATTCAGAACTGATGCAGGAGCTCCAGTTTTCTGATGCCAACTCTGGCAGACAGCGATGATGACCCAAACAGCTGAGTTGCTGTCACCTAAATGGGTCACTTGAGTTACATCCCCACTCCTGGTAAGCCTGCTCCACCCTAGGTCTTTGCATAGCCTAGCAAGTGGAGCTCCGAAGTGCTAAATAAATAAATAAATGTAGCCAAGATGTCAGCTTAACTTATTTGGTGTCGAAACCACTGACTTGTCAAGCTTACAGGTAAGAGGAAATGAGAATTCATTAAAAATCAATTTAAAATTCAAAGATTGAAATTAGCCAGTATCATTTAAGGACTCAGATAGAACAAATAAATCTAAATGTAATGAAAACCAATTCTGTTAGTAGAAGTTCAATGGAAAGACAGTTCTGTAATGCCACATATTTTGACTAAAGAATGTCATTTTAAAATTGTGTCATAATGGTTGTTTCCTTAAGAATGAAAAATTCAAGTTTTTGGCTTTCTGGGAATCAATTAAAAAAAAAAAAAAGAAAAATGGACTTGCCTGATGTAGGCAGGCACTAAAATAACATGAAATGAACATCATGAGATCAATCTTTGATAATGTCCTAGGGATCTGGACTGATCGGTTGCCAGTTCTTAGCAATCCCCCTAATTCAGTCTATTTCTCAAATCAAACCCCAGTTAAAGATGTCAAAAGGACCTAATAAATTTTAAATCAAGCCAAAGATAGTAAGTCTTTGATGGGATGGGGGTTGGGAGCGAGCAGGACAGATTGTAAAGTATCAACTTTGCTCTCCTCTATTTTGACTCATCCCTTACCCCCAAAATTCTAAAGACTAGATTTCTGAGATTACCTGGGATGGAAAACATAAATGGGCCACTCTTACATCACCAGTGTGTTCTAGGCCTTTATCCAATTACCTCTGAATAAAATAATTTTTCTCTTATTCAATTCCCGCAAGAACTGATTTTTAAAAAAAGGAATTAATTCATATTAACACAATTACTTACAGAGTCTTCTTGAACATCAAGTCCAAGTGTTTCAGCAACAACTGTAGCTAAGTTAAACGACGAGTTATCAGTTGGATAATTGCTCGCTCCATGTGTTTCTAAATGAGAAAAAATCCAATTATACAGCTGTAGAAATCGAATATATAAAAATTACAGTAAAGGGAGGCCAGTGTTGAGCATAGCAGGTTAAGCCACCAGCTGTGATGCTGGCATCTCATAAGGACACCAGTTCATTTCCTGTCTGGTCCACATCTGATCCAGCTTCCAGCTAATGGTGTAAGAACAGCAGTAAAAAATGGTCTAAGTGTAGGGCCTCTATCACCCTGATAGAGACCCAGAAGCTTCTGGTTCATGATTTCAGTGTGGCCCAGCCTAGATAACTGCAGCCATCTAGAGAGTGAACCACTGGGTAGAAGATCTTTCTTCTCTCTGCAACTCTTTCACAAAAACACACAATTCTTAAAAACCTAACAAAAAAAGAAGGAAAAGGTACATGGAACTGCTTTATAAGATCTCAATTTTTAAATTCTGCACAAAATGTCTGAAAATATAGATGGTAAGCAGTAGTATGTATCCACATTTGCCAAATTTTTTATTTTTCCTAAATAAGTGAGTGTAATATGCATATTACAATTACTGGAAAAAATACCCTAATGTGGATGTACAATGGATTTACTGAGATCTAAGGTAGACCATGAATTTCAAATCATACTTATAGTGTTTTCATGAAAACATGCTCTATGGAAGAGATTTCCAGACCTGGATAGTTTTATGTATTTCTACAGGAATCATCTATGTTCAAGTTCTGAGTAGAAAGTTGTACATGTAGAGTTCCTCTGACTCAGCATTGTGCCTAGCATCAGACGAAAAGAAATCTTTTTTATTTTAAAAAAATTATTGAAAAGTCAGATATCCAGAGGAGGAGAGACAGAGAGGAAGATCTTCCGTCCGATGATTCATTCCCCGTGACCGCAATGGCCGGTGCTGTGCCAATCCGAAGCCAAGAGCCAGGAACCTCCTCCAGGTCTCCCATGTGAGTGCAGGGTTCCAAGGCTTTGGGCCGTCCTTAACTGCTTTCCCAGGACACAAGCAGGGAGCTGGATGGGAAGTGGGGCTACTGGGATTAGAACAGGCGCCCATATGGGATCCCATCAAGGACCTGGCGAGGACTTAAGCCACTAGGCTACCACACTGGCCCTGAAAAGAAATCTTAAATTCTTATCCTCAAGGTACTTACAGGCTACAGTTGGAAGGTAAACAGATTTGCCATAGAATGTGGTGGATATTTTAACAGAAGTAATTATAAGGGATGACTTAAACACAGAAAGAGGGCTCTTAAACATACCTTGGGGAGTCAAGGCAAGCTACACACTGAGGTCTAAGCTTTGAGAGAATGAGGAATCTGGGGCCTAGCGTTGTAGCCTACATACATATCACAAAATGACTTTTAGCTTTCAGAACACAAGTCGTGCACTAATGTAAATGACTGGAGGATGCTGTTGGTATTTTTTAAGAAGGAAGTGGTTAAGCCACTGCTTGACATAGCCACATGCCCTGAGAATCTTTTCAAGTACTGGCTACTGCTTTCAATCCACCTTAATGCATTCCCTGGGAAGCAATAGATAACGGCTCAGGAGCTTGGATCCCTGTGACACATGTGGGATGTGTGGACTGAGCTCGAAGCTCCTGGCTTCAGCCTTTAGTTCGTCCTACCTAGCCATGGCTGTCAGAGCATTTGGGGAGTGAGCCAGCTGGTGAAAGATCTCTATATCTTTGTGTCTCTGCCTTTTAAATAAAAATAAAATCAATAATTTTTTTTTTTTAAAAAAGCCCTCATTGAAAGAACTAAATAAGAGTGATTAACTTGATCAACGCTTCCATCTGGGCTGGGGGTTCTGTCTCTTGCCATCTTTTCAAAGATGTTCCCTCTTTCCCTCTAACCACTAATTTTCCCCTTTACTTGATGATTTCATCAGCATAAAAATATGCAGAATATGCTGATGTTCCATTGTACAGAAATCCCTCCCTTGAAGGCAGGTGCTGAGAACCAAAGAGAGCACCCCAAGGCTCAGAACTTGAACTTTTTTCCCCCCTGTACGTACCTTGCTTAGCAATCTCACCTAGTCTCACCTAGACATCAGCTTCATCTACATGACTTCTTTGTTTTTCCATTCTGAACTTCTCCTTAAACTTGGAACTTACACCCACCTACCAATTCAAATTCTGTACTTGAATATCTAATCTGCATTTCTAACAGAATATTCCCCAAAGTAAACTTCTGCTGTCTAGTCACTTCCACCATGGAGTCAACCAGACTAATAAGCAAATAGTAATATATATAAGACTACATGGTAAAAGTTTTAACACTAACTAGTGCAGACTGGTGGCCAGTTTTGCCCACCAATAACTGCACATTTCAAACTCACAAAGTAATCTAAGTATATTGCTTACTAGCCACTGGAGGCTGACTTTGATCACAAGAATCAGCAACAAGGATTTCATTCTCATTAGGATTATGTTGTGGGTGAGCTGAAGGCTTGGAAGCTTTCCTTAAGTCTATGGAGAAAAAAGGGGAAAGATTACATAATAAACAAGCAAGGATCATAAAAAATATAATTACAATTTCATTTTGGGAAGTTAGCATAAACCTATTTTTAAACACATTATAAGCACCCACATTTCATTAGCATAATTTTCACATTCTAAGATTTCAGTGCCTTAGTTAGGTTTATTTGCTACTACGTAAGAGGCTAATTTAAAATGAGTTCCACATCATGGATCTTCTCAATCTTGGCTTTAAAGTCTTCATTTTCTGCAAGGAAACCTTGAATACTCTTCATTGGCTATTTCATTATTAAAGGATTTAATTCAAGAAAAAAATGACCAACAGAAAATAAACCTTTACTTTTGAGTTGAAAATAACAATGAAAGACAATGTAAAAGGCAGGTGTTCAGTGTGGGAGTAAAGATACTGCTGGGGATGCCTGCATTCCATGTCAGAATGTTCGGCTTCTGTCCCAGCTCCTCTCAGTTCCCATTCATCACTCATGTACACCCTCAGAGACAGGAGGTGGCGGCTCACGTATCTGGATTGCTGCCACCCATGTGGGAACGTGGCCTGACTTCCCAGCCCCGTCCTGCCCCAGCCTTATTTACTATGGGCATTTGAGCAGTTAGAGAATAGGACTAATTTGTAATTAAATTATTTATAATTTATGTTAAAATGATTTATGTTAAAATGATTTGCAAGGCCCCAAAACTATCATCAAATCAAGATTTCACAAGTCAACTGTAAAAGGATAACGAAGTTAAAACAAATTAAATTTTTAAGTAGTTAAATGTTGCTTTCATACAATGAGGAAATAAACTAGAGGCATTTACACTGTATACAAAAGAAGCCAGGTTAGTGAAAAATATTTGCTGTGACTAGTTTTCTGGGTGTTCTTATGCATGAATTTAAACAAGAACTAAACCATGTAAATGATCACCCGCAGTAAGGAGTGCCCTGTCCGATAGCAGGCTACGGCTAATTGGTATTCATTCTAGATCTGTGATTTTTCCTATTTGGCTCCTAGCAACACATAGGATTCTTAACAGTTCTTTTGTTTTCCACTAGATGGTGATACAAACCTATACAAAATGGGCAAAGGCTGTCACAGATACTACAGAATCTACTTCTTTTTTTTTTTTTAATGAAAAGAATAGAAAAGAAAAAGCTACTTACTAAATTTATAAAATGCTTGAGTGTTTACACATTCAGATGAGCACCACATGTCCACACAAATGTGCAGATACTTAGCTGCACCATGGGTTACACAGGTTACCTGAACAATGACTATCTGCCTTCAACTGGACTGAATAATAAAAGCTAACAATAAACAAATGCTTCCTTTAGATAAAACAATTACAAAAAAGCATAATCTCTTACCACTTGTCCCCACAGAGTGTTCCACTTTAGTATGTGCCTGTTCTGTGTATCGGACATGCAAATTCTCTTTTTTTCGTAGTCGGTTAATGCCAGGAAACAAAAAGGCTGTTATAGGTGAATCTGGAATAACACATTCCTCATATTCAAGCTCGGCTGATGAATGCTGTTGCTCATTCCTACAAAAACAGGACATTACTGAGTAAGAGAAAATTGACTTTCACAGGTAAAACTATCACTGCCTTAACTTGCAGCTAAGTGTTACTAGTTGGTCAGGATATTTAGAGTTTAGGCCACCAAACCTGTCTTTTCATACTAATATCAACTTATAATACTAATTCAAATCAAACAATTAGATAAGAATTTCATAAAATATGGCAAGAGTCATAATAACATTAGAACACAAAGCTTAATTTCTAGATAACACAGCTTGTGGTCTATAACAACATAGTCTGCATTTAAGAACAATCTTAAACAAATATTTTAAAGAATTTTTAAAAGCATTTATTTTTATTGAAAGGCAGAATTACAAAGAGAGAAGGAAAGAAAGATCATCAATCCACTGGTTCACTCCCCAAATGGCTGCAATGAGCAGCGCTGGACGAGGCCAAAGCCAGGAGCCAGGGGCTTCTTCCTCTTCTGGGTTCTCACATGGGTTCAGGGGCCTATTTCTGTTGCCTTCTTTGGACATTAACATGGAGCTGGACTGGATGTCAAACAGCAAGGACTTGAAATGGCTTCCATATAGGATGCTGGTGCTGCAATTACTCTGCTAGGCCTTGACACCTGTCTCTAAAGATTATTTTTTTAAAGTAACAAATAATAACAACATACGTAGGGGATACAATGTGATGTTTCGGTATTTGTTTAGTGGAATAAACAAACTGAGTTGGTTAATAAACCTGTTATCTCACATACTTGTTTTCTGTGTAGTGAAAGCATTGAAAATTTATTTTTTGGAATACCAAAACATTAATATTTACAACAGCTCACCATTCTGTACAACAGATTTAATATTTAATTTTTAATCCCCTCCTGCAATTCTGTTCTTATTCTGGGAAAACAGAGCAAGTTGAAGTCATATGAGAAAGCCTTATAAATTAATGGAGTATGAAATCTATCTGACCTAGCTTTAATCACTTCACGGCCTCCTGGCCTGTAGTTGTTAAAAATTCAACCTGAACTATGAGTCATGAGAAGAAACTCAATTCCTGATAGAATCAATCCAGAAGTAACCAGGATCACCCACTCATCAACCAACTGAAAAACCCACAAACCAGCTCTAACTATAGAGGTGCTCAAACCAAGTATGCAGTGTTGGCTTTGTCCTCCTTTGTCATACAAGAAGAGAGGAAGAAAGTTAACCCCATGTCTTAAGTTTATTCCTTAAAACATTAGCTTTCTGATTGAGAAAGAGGCCGTAAGACTTCAGATTGCAGCTTTCGGTTAAATCCAGTATGTATGCTTGTTGATCTTGCCTTTCATTTTTCTTTCTGATGGCCTTTTGGCCATTCGCTGTATTTGTGGGATTCCCATTAAATTTCTGTCACAACTGTTTCAATCATTATTTGTTTAAGAAATGTATAGGATCCAGAGTTTTCTTTATGAGAAGACTTTATAAAAAAGTTTTTAGGGAATCAAGATGGCAGAATAGGGTAAGGCCATGAATAAACAGATGGAGAAACATTAGCCAGGGTGAAGCTGAGAGGGCACATTCCAGAAAATAGAATAGGACAGACCAACAGCAGAGAAACACCTGGAGACTGATGGACACAGGAAAGCAGTGGAAACAATGGTGTGCTGTTGCGGTAACCAGATACCCCAGCAGCAGTCAAAGAGCAGCGAATTGATCTTCACTGGTGGGAAAGGGAGTTCATCAGGAGCTCAGGTGATGAAACCAGACCAAAAAACTGCCCAAACTGCTGGTTTGTGCAATTTAACTAGGAGCAGACACACAGCAGCAGATCCCAAACTGACTGTGTAGGAACAGGATGGAACTCACAGCCCAGAACATCACGAGAGCTGCATTGGTCACCATTTTGTGTAGGGAGGCAAAGGTTATGGGACAAGACTGTGGATGCATTAAGTTAGGCGCAAGCTCATTTTGGGCTCAGTGCATTGCAATGAAATAGCATCCTATAGGTTCCACATAATATAGGTCCAGATGGCCTCCAGACCTCCTCAGGCTTAATGGTCAGCAGATGAAGAACTCCACTGGTAGCACATTAGGTGCCATTTTGTACAGAGTGGCAAAGGTTTTGAGACTGCAGAGGCAACAGTGAGCTGTGCATGCATTAAAATGGGAGCAAACTCACTGAGCTTAGTGCACTACATTGGACTTACATGGAAAATAATAGCAAAATAGGTCTGTGTGGCCCTTAGTACTAATGGCAAGATTAGCAACAACACCAACTTAGCTATATAGGACACTGGGTGTCTCACTAATCCTGAGAACTGGTCCAACCAGAAGTGGGAGAAAGGTACAGATAATGGTACAGCCTCAGCACAAGATCACAGGAGGTGGAGAGTGGTGAGTCAGGAGTTGGGGCTACGGAGACCATGGTGGAAGTCTAACATAAGAGCCTAGGACTGAAAATTACTGGAAGAAGTGGCACAAGTGACTGCAAACGAAGATCTGTGTACCAACTGCAATAAGTAAAATTGAATTGTAGACCTGTGGGTGAGAGAGCTTAGAATCCTGCCCTAAGGAGAAGAATCTGATAACCAGAAGCACAATGACCAAGAGCAAGAGAAGAGACAGAGGCACAATGAATATTACTGGCGCCTCCCCTGCAAAAAGAAAAAGCCCTTGTCAACCTCAGAGTTAACTGAGGAATATGTTGAGAAAATGGAGATACTCATTATAAAACTTGTTACCAATAATGAGAAGCACATACAGGACCTCAAAGAATTTAAGGAGTATGTCACACAGGAAATAGCAACACTGAAACAAAATCAAGCAGAATTAATGGATATGAAGGACAGAATAGAGCAAATTAAAAATATTCAGTGGAAAGCTTCAATTATAGAATGAATGAGGCAGAATAAAGATTCTCAGAATTGGAAGATATTTCCTTCAGCAATGGGGGAAATAATCAAAAAGCTGGAACAGAGCTGGATCAGGCAAAAAAATGTATTTAAGAACTGAAAGACAATATCACATGGCCAAATATAAGAGCTACTAGAGTTCCAAAAGGTGTAGAAAAAGAAGTTTGGTTTAAAAATTTATTTAATGAAATAATAAAGAAAAATTTTCCTTAATTTGGAGAAAGAATTGGGAAACAACATCCAGGATGGGCACAGAACTCCCAACAGGGTTGACCAAAAGTGATCTTCACCATGACATATGACCTATAAAGGAATGGCAGTCAGACTCACAGTTGACCTCTCACAAGAAACTCTACAGGCCAAAAGAGAATGGAGCAACATATTCAAGATTCTAAACAGAAAAAAACTGTCAGCCCAGAATAATGTACCCAGTAAAGCTTTCCTTTGTCTTTGAAAATGAAATAAAAGTTGTCCACAGTAAAGTTAAGCTAAAAGAACACGCCTCTTCCAAACCTGCCCTGCAAATACTTAAAGATGTTCTCTCGAACCAACCCAAACCAAAGGCAAATGTGAAGAGCATCCCAGTAAAATAACAGAAGACTAAATCAATGAACAACCCATTGCTAAAATGACAGGACCAAAGTAACACCTATTCATATTAACCCTGAATATAAATGGCATATACCATCAAGTGTCATAGATTGCTAGACTAAATTTAAAAAAAAACAAAACATCTATCTGTTACCTACAGGATACACATCTCACCAATAAATTTCAGTGGAAACTACATTTCATGGATTTTGATGTTTTTGTTTCTGTGCGATACATTAGTCATCCAGTAGCATGGTATTTAACTTCATGAAGTTGTAGATTTCTATTTTTCTTCCTGTTTTTAATTGTGTTTTGTGGCTTTTCATTTAAGGGGATGTATAGTAACTGTGTAATGGAGACTATCATATTCAGATGCGAGCATACAATGCAGTATGCATCTCTACTTCCAGATCAAAGATGGACACCCAATGAAACTGTTAAATATATCTTGACAATTGGATGCTGGACTCTCTGCCATTGTCCATGCCCTCAATGAAGGACTTATGACTGTTTATGAAGAACTGTACTAATGTATAATAGAGGGAAACTAGTGGTGGAAGGGATTTGGAGAGAGGGTATAAGAAATGCCAGAGCCTAGGAATTATATCATAAAATGATAATGATAATAAAAAATGGAAAAAAAGTTTTGAGCATTCAGTGCTTCTCCTTCTTCATGCTGAAGAATTTACATTTACAGTTAAATATAATGTAAACTTGATGAAGAAATGTCACAGTCATTATGTTCATCTAAATGTTCCACCTTTCAAAAGGGAAGATCCCAAGAGTACAAGCTAGTGAATCTGATTGTTTGATCCCCACTTATAAGCTATTATATGAAAAATTCAAATAAGGCTTATTTTAACAAACAGGGCCATTAGGTTAGTCGTTCTGTGGGAAGTTGGAACTTGTATCTGACTCTGAGGAAGGCATCTCTTCATATCCTCCCACTGTCAACAGAAAGAAATCTATATTGGCTATTAGTAAACACAGCTTCCTAACTGACACAAGTAATCATTAAATAAGGAATTCTGTAGTGACATGCTTCAGGACTCCATCCTCAGTCAGATCTTGATTCAAAGAATTGATGGCATATTCCTAATATTTGTGGAAGACACAAAGTTTAAAGTAAAAGTAAGCCAAACATGTAACAGCGGAACAATCAACATGTGAAAGGTGAAAGCCCTGGAAAAAAAGGCTAAATCTAATCAAATGCAACAGAACAGAACAAATGCTCCATGTAAACCTTACTGAAGTGAGATACAGAACAGGGCAGCATTACTCTGTTGGTCAGACTGTATCTAGTTTACTGTGTTAATACTAAAACCACTAGTTGTCAGAGAAATGCAAATCAAAACCACAATAAGTATCACCTGACTCCAGAATGGTTATTAAAAATAATAATAATAAACTAACAAATGCTGGTGAGGATACAGAGAAAATGGCAACCTTCACACATACACTGTTGACGGGAAACTAAGTTAGTACAGGTATTGCAGAGAACAATGGGGGTTCCTTAAAAAGCCAGAAATAGATCTGCCCACTTACTCTTCCTCTGGATGGATATGGATAGATATATAAATATACCCACATATATATATGTTACATCTATATATGTTATACACATAAAAATATCTGAAGGAGATGAAATTGCTTATGAGATGTCTGTTCTCCCTTGTTTACTGCAGTACTAATCACAATAACCAAGATACAGAAATAAGCTGCAAATTCACCAATGGAAAAGAGCGCAGTAAGTGTATTACACAAAAAGACTGAAATGCTGACATATGAAATGCTGAAATGCGAAGTGGAAGGAACTGGAGAACTTTATGTTAAATGTACTTGTCCACAAAAAATCATGAATATTTCATGTTCTCTCTCATAGGTGGAAGTCAAAATACATATAAATATACATACATACATAACACGTATGAATTAAAGGTAGTGATCATCAGAGAACAGGAAAGGTTGGAGGAGGAGGTAGGGAGAAATTGAAGAGTGGATACCAAAACAAACAGATGAAGCTAACAGGTTCCTGTGTTTTGCAGCACGATGGCTCACTATGACATATAATACACCATGGACTACATATCCTCAACTTTACATTATATAAATTATTATAGGTCAACAATTACTTATCTGACATCCTTGAAGTAGATGGGGTTCAGAATTCAGACTTTTTTTTTAAATGAATGGCAACAAGGAATTTATAAATATTATCGCCTAAAGCCTGAAGTGGGGTGAGGTATCTGAAATCAAACACACTGACACCTTCAAAGTAAATCATGAATACTCTCAGGCAGTGGGATGAATAAAGATTATAAACAGCTTTCTGTCAGTTGAGGAGAGGTTAGGTTGTGAATGACATTTCAGAAAACAGCTTTTTGAGTTTTAGAATTACACATTAAAGATTGTGAATCTGAATCCAAGCCTTTCTTCATTACAGGAGATGAAGAAATGGGAAGTGTTGGCATTTTCATATATAATGCTTTATAACCGTGGTCTGATCTCATAGCTTCTTTTCATCATCTCTCATCCCTTCTCAGAATTCCCCTTGGCCAGCACAGTAGTCAAAGGGTTGATGACATGAGAATAGTATCACAATTCTACTGAATATTCATATCTAAAAATACACTGATAAGAAGGTGAGATGTGTCTATGTTTAGACTACTGCAATTCAACAGAAGAACAGGCTGCATCTGTATAGTTTACCAGAGTTTTGGCAGATGTAAAACTCAAATGCAATCGAATCTTCAAAAACCTTGTAACACCATTAGGACCATACTGAACACTAAGTTTTGAGATCCATTACATAAGTTTTATGTAAATGGAAACTGAGAAATCACCCTACCTCTGCTTGGCTTTCAGCAGCATATTCAGAAAAATATTGCATTTTTTGAGACTGCATTGCATAATGGGGAAAAAGAAAGATCTAACCAGATGATAAGGGTCTAAATAACAGTTCAATTACTTATTAGCTGCAATAACATATGGAAGTAAGACTTTGCAAGCTTAGTTTTTTTGTTTGTAAAGCAAGGCTAATAAAATAACTGGAATCAGAGATTAGAAGTAAAAAACAAAGAAAACAGAACAGCACTGGTAAAAGTTACCATTTTTACTTGTTAATAGATGTGCAGGAAGGAAAAAAAGGAAAACAGGAAGGAAGAGGTTTTACAGGTCTGGAAACTCAAAGAGGAATTACTCAGTTTGCTTTTATGCTTCTGGGACAGGATATTCAAATGTTTAAGATACAGGCATTATAATAAAAAAATTACAACATTACGATTGCTATGAGAAAGAAATTACAAAAGTTAAGATGCTTTAAAATGTTGACACTTTATACAAACACTAACCTATGAAATGCACATATACTCAATATACACAAAACACAAGATAGTTATTTTATCTATTTTTATTATAAAGCACTATATAATTCTTAAATTCTGTAACTTAAGATATCTTCACAATTTGGATAGCTACCTGAAATAAAGTTAGGGAAAACATCTTCTATTGTAATTTAGGGAAAATACTTACTCAATTTTTTGTTGTAGCTGTTCAGAAAGCTTTTTATTTTCTTCCTGTAGAGTATTCTTTTCATTCACTTAAAAACAATGTGAAAAAACCATATGAGATAGTTATACTAATATCTATAATACCTATATCAGTCTTTTATAATAAAATATGTCAACATTTTAAAGATATTAGAATTTCTAATTCTATGTTATAGCACTGTTCAGGGTCAGCACTATTGTGCAAAACTAATTTGTTACTAGGCAGTGATCACTTACATTTTTCCAGTTCTATATAACTGATTAACTGATAATTTCATGTAATTCTTATGGGAAAAAAAAGAGCACTTCATGTTCTAGGGAGTATATTACAATTATTCATACTGAAGGCAAGAAGCATTACAAAGAGGACATTAAGTACTATTAATTTCTATTAATAAATTATATAGCTTATATTAAGTTCTACTAATATATACAAATCATTTATTTACTTATTGGAGAGGAAGTGGGAGGAGCAAAAAGGGAGAAAGAGAAATAGAACCACGCCCAGAGAGAGGAGAGGGAATCTCAACTGTTGGTTTCCTAACAGCCACTGTTGGGCCACCTGGAAGCCAGTAGTTCAACACGAGTCCCATACAAAGTGGCCAAGTGACAAAGATCCAACTACTCCAACTTTCACGAGTGCTTCCCGAGGGTCTGCATTAGTAGGAAGCTGGAGTCAGAAACTGGGCTAGCTACTGATTCCCGGCACCCCGATATATAGGACACAGGCATCTTAATCCTGGTGCTCCAATATACAGGACACAGGCATCTTAATCCTGGCACCGCAATATATAGGACACAAGCATCTGAACTGCTTAGTCAATTGCCTACTCTCAAATATCATTTTAATGAGATTCACCTTGAAATGCAGTCATAAAAATAATGCAACATTGAATACCAGTATAATTTTTATAACAAGCACATTCAGTAAGCCATCTTTTCTTACTTAGTTATGTTCCATGTTTTATTTACAACCAACAGTATAAAAAATATACTCACTGAAGTAACATCTATATCTTTTAATTGATCAGCATTAAATTCTCCTTTGATTTTCAGGGCAGAAACCCAATTTGTAGCTATAATTTCCACCGGTGCCAGCACAAAAATCTTAGCAATGCTGACATGACGTCATTGGTGAGGTATGTGTTACAGCAAGAGAAACAGATCCAAGAAGTCAAGTCACAGCACACAATTACCCTCCCCCAGGAAAGGTTAACCATATTCCAAGAATCTGTTAATTATTTAGTGGTTTACAAAAGTAACCAAATTGTCTTTGGTTGAATGAACAAGTATTTTTGGACTACATATAATAGGTGAGGTTCCTAAACTACCTCTTGAGGAAGATCTAAGACATATGAAGATATGAACAGTGATCTAACGGAAAGCACACTCTAATAAGGGAAACAGATAACTACATAAGCATGTATTGCACAATGAAAGTGACAAGAACACCAGAGAAGTATAAATGAAGATTGGTTACTTTGGGTCCTTGAGACAAAAAGGAAAGAATTCATAAGGAGAACAACTGATTTGGGAAGGAGACTATTTTATGTTGAGAATTAGAGGAAGACAGACTGCATCTTCTAGCTCCTTGCTAGTAGCTTGGGAAAGCAACTGAAGATGGCCCAAGCACTTGGAACTCTGCCACCCAAATAGAAGATCAGGAAGAAACTGCTCCTGGCTCAGCTTGCCATTATGGCATCGGGACAGTGAACAAACAGATTAAAGACCTCTGTGTGTGAAACTCTCAAATCAATAAATAAAACTTAAAGATCAGAATCAGTACTACTTGGCAATTCATCTTTGAAGGGTGTCAGAAATCAAGGATAACTTCAGGTTTTTGTTTAAGGTTGGTCACTTGACTTTCCATTTCCAAACTCAAATGAAATCACAAAACAACTCGAAAATTCAGTCTATACTATTCTGAAAAGCCAGAAAAGGTGCCACTAGCAAAGTCTTGGGCCCTGAGGAGTGGGCACTGTGGTATGGTAGCTCAAGTCGTTGCATCTGGGACATCTACATCTTACATTAAAGTGTCTCATCCAAGCACTGGTCACTCTGCATCTGGATCCAGTAGCTTGCTTATGCATACCTGGGAGGCAGCAAATGATGCTCCAAGTACTTGGTCCCTGCCACGGGAGACCCAGAGGGCGTCTGACTTTGCAATAAAAAGATAAATCTAAAAAAAATTTATTTATCATTTTTTATTTGAAAGTCAGATTTACAGAGAGAAGAAGACAGAGAGAGAGAGAGATCGTCTATCTGCTGATTCACTCCCCCAAGTGGCGACAACAGCCAGAGCTGAGCCAATCCAAAGCCAGGGACCTGGAGCTTCTTCTGGGTCTCCCATGTGGTTGCAGGGTCCCAAGGCTTTGAACCATCCTCAACTCCTTTTCCAGGCCACAAGCAGGGAGCTGGATGGGAAGCAGGGCCACTGGGATACAAATCAGTGACCAATTGGGATCCCATAGCACGCAAGGCAAGAACCTTAGCCACTAGGCTAATGCGCTAGGCTGAGAAAGACAACTAGCATTAGGAATGTTTGGAAGGTTTAACAAAAATAAAACAACACTGTGAGTCAAAACCTGACCACTGTAAGTGAGGAAATGTAAGCACTACACGTAGGACGGAAGGCCTGAACTGGAAATCTTCAGTGTAAGCTGAACCCCTGCAACGGAGCCAAGGGTTCCAAGTAACCTACAATTAAAATTTACAAAAAATAACTCATTTACACATTTGCAAGGATTTCATAGAATAGTTATCTCACATATAGTAATGAAATGTGTAAATATTTAAAGACGGAATCCCCAAAATTAATGTGCTAGAAGTGATTTAAAACAAAGAACAGCAATGGCAGGCCTTTGGCAGTGACTAAGACAATGCTTGGTTCTGGCATTCTGTAGCTCAGCACCTGAGTGAGTCCTAGTGTCACTTTTGATCCAGCTTCTCGCTAATGCATTGCCTGAGGTAACAGGCAGTGGTTCCAGGACTTGGACACCTGTCATTCATGTTGGAGGTTAGGACTGAGTTCCAGGGTCTGGCTTCAGCTGATCCAGCTGGCTCAGCCCTGGCTATTTTGGGCATTTGGTAGTGAACTAGGAGACAGAAGATCTCTTTCTCTCTCTCAAATGAATAAAAAGAATAAAAACAAAGTGGGGCAGCCCAGACTCAAACTGGCACTTATGTGGGATGCTGGCATCCCTGGAGGATGCTTAACTTTCTGTTTCACAATGCTAACCCCAGTGGTGATAGACAATATTCTTATATTCCTAAGCAAAATGTAGCACATGCTTATATATTCACACCACAGAATCCACAGACCTAAATAAATTAGCACTGAAGAGTTCCAAGACAGAGTCTAAAGTGAAGCAGCACATTCCAAAACAGAAATTATAGGATGATCCCTCCAAAATTCAAAGGGCAGGAGCTGTGGCACAGCTGGCAAACCATATCGGAGCTCTGGTCTGAGTCCTGGCTACCCTGATTCCAATCCAGCTCTGGGCTACTGTTCCTGGTTCAACAGAGAAAAATAGGCTAAATCCTTGAGCTCTGGTACCCATGCAGGCAACCCAGATGGAGTCCCAGGTTCCTGGCTTCAGCATGACTCAGTGCTTGCAACTGTGGCCAGGTGGGGAGTAAATCGGCATGTAGAAGATTGATTCATCTGTCTACCATCCTGCTTTTAAATAAATATATTAAAATTTTTTTTTTAGAAAATCAGGAGAAAAGGCAAGGGGATTTAAAATGAAAGAGACAAATAGAAAAATAAATTTGCATCTGCAAGACACAGACTATCAACAGCAGCCACTGGTGGGCACAAAATGAAATTGTATTTTTGCTTGTTTCTTTTCAAAATATATATTATGTAAAACATAGCTATATATTCTTGAGCAACCAGAGGATAGACAAAAGCATGGCTAAAAAAAATGAAAAAACATGGAATTAGTTCAGAAAAGATGACAGTGAATTGGATTTTCAATATAAGCAATATTGGCAATAAGCGTCAATGGTCCCTTTGAGACAAAGACAGTTAAAGAGGGAAGTGAGAGACGTTAAAAGAGAAAAACGAAAAGAAGGTTAAGAATATAAGAAAGCTTACATTAAGAAGGTAAGGGGAATAACGTGAAAACAGTGCATTTACAGTAGTATGTCATGAAAACAAAAAGTATACATCTTTGTAGAATATTTTACTTGTATTTAATTTCATTAAGTAAGCAAGTAACTTGCAATAATGATAAAACCAAAGAAGCAAACACGGACATATCCAATGGGCATCTGCTTCTTGTCTGAGCATTGGTGAGGCTGCAAGGCCACTATGGATAGCATGTGGACAACTGTCCCAAAACCCACTCATTACTAAAATACACTTGAGATGAAAGGTACAAATAGGTAAAAAGAGATATTCGGACTGGTACCTAAATAAGGAAAAATACAAGTACACAATCCATTTGATTACAATGAATTTACTAATGGATTTTAACAGCAGTACATTATGTCTTAAATACTAAATAAATGAAAGGAAACTCACTAAGCTCTGTAATAAGTTTAAGATTCTGCTGCCGAATATTTTCAAATTCTTGCTGTTTTTTCCGCATATGTTCTTCTGTTACTGCACAGCGATCACACAGTCCTGCTCTTAACCTATGAAACAAAAACAAAGTATTTTTGTTAAAAATAAAAGAACACTTCTTTTTAAAATATATACATATATACATTTACTTAGATTTTTTTTTCTTTATTTTTAATGGAAAGCCAGATTTACAGAGAGAAAGAGAGACAGAGAAAGAGCTCCCATCTGCTGGTTCACTCCCCAAATGGCTACAATGGCTGGAGCTGAGCCAATCCGAAGCCAGAAGCCAGGAGCTTCCTCTGGGTCTCCCACAAAGGCACAGCTTCCTAAAGATTTGGGACATGCTTCACTGCTTTCCCAGGCCATGAACAGGGAAGTGGACAGGAAGTGGAGCAACCAGGACTCAAACCGGCACCCATAGGGATCTTGGTATGCACAACGTGAGGATTTAGTCACTGAGCCATGGTGCTATGGCTGGCGCCTCAGAAAACATATTTTAAGATAACATTTTCAACTCAGTAACTGAATTCAGTAAGAGTATCTTAAATATCTGTGGAAGTAACAGCATGGTAGCTTATTCCATAAGTCTTAAGGCAAGTTACAAAGGAGACAAAATATAACAACTATGCAATTAAAACAAAAGACCTAGGTGTTTCCACATGAGATTCATATCAATCAAAGATCACTGCTACACTAAGACTTACTGGAATAAAAAGGCACAAAGAGTTACACATTATGGATTAAGACAAATAGCACAACTGAGGCTGACTGGGCCCAGCACAGTAGCCTAATGGCTAAACTTCTTGCCTTGCATGAGCCAGGATCCCATAAGGGTGCCAGTTCATGTCCTTGCTGCTCAGCTTCCCTTCTAGCTCCCGGCTTGTGACCTGGAAAAGCAGTCAAGGATCGCCAAGGCCTTGGGATCCTGTACCCACGTGGGAGACACAAAAGAAGCCTGGGTCCTGGCTTCAGGCAGGCTCAGCTCCAGCTGTTGTGACCACTTGGGGAGTGACCCCGCAGATGGAAGATCTTTCTCCTTCTCTCTGTAATCTTTCAAATAAAAATAAATATTTTTTAAAAAAATTAGGTTGTTCAAAAGCCACAGAGCTATGTTTTAAGAATAATAACTAAGGAAAGATGAAATTTACCATTAACATTCATTTTTGCTCCCACCCAGAATCCCAAACAAATGACAGTAAAGATAATGTACTACAGAGATTCAAACAAAAGAGAATGGAAAAGAACAAAAATATGAAATCAATGCAGCGGTGGGCACATGGAAGCTGCGTTGAGAACTCTGTATTCTAAGATAGTGGTAGGAAAGTCCATAACTGCCTTGTCCAAGAAATAAGCAGTCACATATAGCTAATTTAATTAAACAACCTGACTTAAAATGGAGTTCCTGCAGTTGCATCTATCTAACTTCTGCCACATTAGATAGCACAGACATAATATCTCCATTATCACAGGAGACTCTAGAGGAATAAACAAAACAATAACTAAAGTGATTTATTCTGGAAAATTCCTAATTTTAATCCCAAAGATTAAAGCACTGATATCAGAATGTTCTAACAAATGTGCTGGTTCATGCCCTGGCTGCTCCACTTCCCATCCAGTTCCCTGCTTGTGGCCTGGGAAAGCAATGTAGGGTGGCCCAAAGCCTTGGGACCCTGCACCCATGTGGTAGACCCGAAAGAGGCTCCTGGCTTCAGATTGGTTCAGCTCTAGCCACTAAGGCCACTTGGGGATGGATGATCTTTTTCTGTAGGTCCTCTTCTCTGTTAATTTGACCTCCTAATAAAAATGACTTTTTAAAAAAAGATCATATCAATATAATCTCTTCTACACATATTCTAAGAAGTCAGGTTATTCTAGCTTTAACTCTCAGCTAAGAAAAGAGTTAACCTAAGATTACCAATACTGATGCTCAACTGCTAGTTATATAATCATATTTTTCCTTATCATTCATTTTTCTGTATTTCCTACTACTTGTTACATGTATAAATACTTTTAAAAGTTAAGCTAATTGCTATAATTAAACTAGTTAAACTGATTAATCAAACATGATTTAGCTTTGTCAGAATACTTTCTATTTATAATTTGAAAAATTGTGTCATTCATGACAGCACAGTTCATGCTGAGTCACCAACGAACATAAATGTATTAGACATACTCAATATCTAGTGATCCTATTTAAGGTTTTTAAAATTATTATTATTTATGATATAGTTTTGTAGGTGTAGGGATCCTCCCTTCCCTGGCTCCTATTTCCCTGAGTAGAGTGTCCTTGTTTCCTCCTGCCTATATTCCACTGCGGCCATCAGAAAAAATGTTCAACAGCCTCAATTTCAGAAGAAATTGCAGTTGCAGGAGCTATAACAGGTAGAAGAGAAAGAATAGATCTACTTATATTTATTTCATCTTATTTGAGTGCGAGAGACTGATTTTTTTTCCCATCAACTGGCTCATTCCCCAAATGCCCAAGAGAGCCAGGGCGGGCCAGGTTAAAGCCAGGATTCCAGAACTCTATCCAGGTCTCCCATGGGTGACATGCACCAAGTACTTCAGTAAGTACTGCTTCCTTCCAGGGTACACATTAACCTGGAGTTGGATCACAAGCAGAAGGGCGAGAACTCAAAGCAGGCACACCAAGACAGGATGTGGGCATCCCGAGCAGCATGTTGATCTCTGTGCTACCTCCTGCTCCACTTGTAAGAGCAAAACGCAATATGCCGTCTGAGTCTTACTCCAGTTTTACACAGGAATCATGACAAAACTTAGAATATTAATAAGAATGCTGAACTGTTTATCTCAAAAAGATTTACTAACTGTATTCGCTTTCATTCAACGAGGTTAAGAAAAATTCTGGGGCTGGTGTTATGGCACAATGAATCAAGCCAGCGTCTGCAACAATATTATTTCAAATGGATGTGGGTGTGAGGCCCACCTGCTCCACTTCCAATCCAACTCCTGTCCAGATAGCAGTAAAAGATGGCCCACACACTTGGGCCCGTGCCATCCATGTGAGATCCTCACGAAGCTCCTGGATGTGCATAGCCCAGCCCTGACCACTGCGGCCATCTGGGGACTGAATCAGCAGATGTTAGATCCGCTTCTCTCTCAAAATAATTAATCTTAAAAAGGAGAAGAAACCACTGCGGCCATCTGGGGAGTGAATCAGCAGATGTTAGATCTACTTCTCTCTCAAAATAATAAATCATAAAAAGAAAAAGATGACTTCTCATGCCACCTGGTAATCTAGAAATATGCTGTGAAGAAAATAGTAGGAACAAAAAGAGGGCAATAGGATTATGAAGCAGTCTATCTACTCAGAAGAATGAAATGAAAGCAACAAATAAATCAGAACACTGCTCACTATAAATCTTGTCCTACATCAAACGCCAAATAAGTATATCATTTACAGAGTACACGGATGTGATCACTACAATTAATGTAAAAATAAACCTGTAAAAGTAAATTCATAAGAATTTACTCAAAAGTTACAGAGGTCTAGAAAAAGGTTACTTTTGATCCCAGAGCTGATTGTAAAAGAGTGTGTTACTGTAGCGGAAATCACCTCAAATACCAGACTCACCGATCTTCTAAAACTTTAATGGTTTCCTGAAGGACTTTCTGCTGTTCTCTCAGCTGCTGGTTTTTGGTAAAAAACTCTTCCAGTCTTTGTGCATCCCTAAAAGGCAAAAAACCTGTTAAGTTTTTCAGGCAAAAACATCCAAAAGGGTAACTCTCTAATCCAAACTTCAAAGTTTGGCATCGTCACTTAATACATCATGAATTTCTTGTATTACAATAAAGCAACTTAAAAGGTCATGTCTGAATATCCTGTTAATTAGAGTTAAAATCACACTAGAATTTTCTCTGCAGTGCTTTAATGTACAATGGAAATTTTAATATAAATATCAGGTATTCATTACACAATGCTGAGACATGAGCAAAAAAGTAGGTTCTGTGCTAGCCAGATTCATATATTTGCCAAAATGTGTGCTGTTATTTTATTATTTTGTCTGCAGTTATTAATGTAAATAAGATATTTCTACCCATTTACTTATTACTCAATTTGTAAAAAGGAATCAAATGTGTTAAAACAGTCCTATACAAATGCAAAGGTTTTTTTTTCTTGGAAATTCTTTAAATCCCTACATCTAAAAAATGATACAAATACTAATACAAGGGGTTTTTTTTTGGTAGAATAGTTTATATTCAGAACTAATAGATTTCTTAGCAGCTACAGAGGGAATTTTCTTAGTAAGTATCATCAAATGGGATGGTTTTGTTACATGTCAATCTCATTTTCTCAGTAGAAAATAAAGAAAATAAAGAAATTAAGTGAGGCTGACAAACAGGATGATCAGATTCACTGACTAGCAAAACAGTGAAAACAGGAGATAATACTGATTGGTAACAACAGATCTGTAACAATAAATTAAGAGGGTAAAAGAACCTGGTAAAGGAGGAATATCATAAAGGCACACAGGTTCAATCGCTGTGTTTAAAATCTACATCCCACATCCCATATCAGAGTGCTGGTCTGTGCTCATTAGCAAGGGGCTGGATTGGTAGCACAGCAGTCAGGATGTAAAGCTGCAAACAGGAGGTGCCGGTGTCCCAGGAGGTGGCTTAATCCCATCCTTTACTCTTTGTCTTTCAAATAAACAAATAAATACATCTTAAAAATTAAAAACAAAAAATCCGGCAAGCTAGGCTTAAGGATAACTTCTTTTCTTAAAGATTTATTTTATTTTTTATAGGAAAGGCAGATATACAGAGAGGAGGAGAGACCGAGAGAAAGATCTTTTGTCCAGTGATTTACTCCCCAATGCTAAGCTGACCTGAAGCCAGGAGCCAGGAGCTTCTTTTGGGTCTCCCGCATGGGTGCAGGGTCCCAAGGCTTTGGGCCATCCTCAACTGCTTTCCCAGGCCACAAGCAGGGAGCTGGATGGGAAGTGGGGCTGCCAGGATTAGAACTGGTGCCCATATGGGATCCCAATACATTCAAGACGAGGACTTTAGCCGCTAGGCCACTGTGCTGGGCCCAAGAATAACTTTTCAAATAATGGTAAGATTTGTCAACTTTCCAAATATTTACTTTTGTAAATGAGTTTTTATAAAAGAGAAACATTAGTCATGTGCTTAGACAACTTGTAAATACATCAGGGGGCTGGTATTTTGGTACAGGAGGTAAAAGCCATAGCCTGCAATACTGGCATCTCAAATGGTACCAGTTCAAGCTCTGGCTGCTTCTCTTCCATCCCAGCTCTGTGCTGTGGAAAACAGCATAAGATGGCCCATGCGCTGGGGCCCCTGCACCCATGTGGGAGATCCAGAAGCTCTGAGCTTCTGGCTTCATCTTGGTCCAACCTAGGCCTCTCGCAGGCATTTGGGGTGTGAATCAGCAGATGGAAGATCTCTTTCTGTAACTCTGCCTTTCCAATGAATAAATAAATTAAATCAAAATACAATTCTGAAACAATTAAGTGATGAACAAATAGTATATTTAGTCATTGTTTTTTTTTTTTTTAACTTTTTTCCAGGTGGAAATTCCTGTGAGCTGTGATGGTTTATAAAGACATGTATACACACAACTTGCTAAAACACTACTTCCAACTGAGAATCCCTAAGGACTGGGACATCTTATGAATACACCTATTCTAAAAATGTGGAGGTAAGACATCGTAAATACTTCTATATTCTAGACGAATATACTGTTAAATTTACTGGAAAAAAAGATGATAATATAGGTAAATCCAATTCTCTGGTTCCAATATGCAAAAACCAGGGAAGATAAAATATAGCATTCCATTAATTCTCTGATTACTCACTGAACTGAGCCACTTACTATGCTTTCAAAATGTATAACCTATATCTACTGAAGCATAAGGGTATATAGTAACTATAATATATATTAGAAGGTTGCCAAGAAAACCAAATGACTATAAACTATACATTGAAGTAAGCATCATTATCAGCTATTGGAAAATAGTTGCTGTTCCAGTTTTTAATATTCAGAGATGCGAGTAATGACTTTTGAGAAGGAATACTCAAGATCCACTTACAAATTTTCCCTTTTCATATGGTTATAGTTTGTACAGTTATCTTACATAAACATACTTTTTTCTAAAAATTACATTGTGATGAGCAAACCTAGATTGTTTCTAAATATTTAACCTTCAGAGAAATGATTCTGATTCAAGTTCAGATAAAATATAATTGCATGGGGCCTGGCGTGGTAGCCTAGCAGCTAAAGTCCTTGCCTTGTATGCACCAGGATCCTATATAGGTGCAGGTTCATGTCCTGGCAGCCCTGCTTCCCACCTGGCTCCCTGTTAGTGGCCTAGGAAAGCGGTCAAGAACAGCTCAAAGCCTTGGGACCCTGCACCCGCATAAGAGACCCTTAGGAGGCTCAGGGCTCCTGGTTTCAGATCAGATCAGCTCATCTCTGGCTGTTGTGGCTGCTTGGGGAGTGAATCATTGGATGGGAGAGCTTCCTGTCCACTGCTCCACCTTTTCCATTAAGTAGGGCATGTTCTTGCAGGTGAGTCCAAGTACCTGGGCCAGGTGTGCCAAGCATCACCAGATCCCCCAACCCTGGGGCCCAGGGAGGGCCCCAGGATGAGGGATCCATTTTAATACAATCAATTTCCATCAAGAACACTTAGTGAATATAGTTAAAACCAAACAGCCAAATGGCAAACAATAATGTCTGGGTTTTAGTTCTGCTTCTTTAAAGTGACCACATTCTGACTCCTCCTATAGGGAGGTCTTTCTCATCAGGGTTGTTAATCCAGCATTTACAAGATCATTAACTTCAATACTGAGTCAAGCCACAATATAAGGAGCTTATTGTCTAACCACTAATCGGCTCTAAAACTTTAAACCTTTGGTATTAGGAAAGGTCAGAGGCAAGAACTCCTATACAGCATTGTTCCACATACAAGGGAGACTTGCAGGAGAACTGCCACGCACGTTACTTCACCTATTCCGTTAGGTACACATGAAGTTACTCTACCAAGTCATCATAGCATTCATCCTCTGACAGTGTTTATAAAAACCATCACTAGCTGGGCTAAATGAGCAATGAAGCCAAAAACAACACAGCAATTGTATTTCCCAATTTTAAATCTTAAATCACTCAAGGAAATACTCTCACAACTAAAAAAAAAAAAAAACAAAAAAAAAACTGCTTATTTCAGAGTAAAACAAGAATATTTTCCTAGATAATTTCAAGTGAACAGAAAAAGTGAAGCTTCACATGCAAACCAAGAAAATGATCCCATTTTCCTTATCTTACCAATGCAGTGTCTTTACCTCTATTTCTGTAGTTGTTCAGGTAGTTCTTACATAAACAATGTAATGCCATCGATGTTGCTGGAACCCCTAGTGCTCACAGAAGATAATCTGCCACTCGAGGAAACCACGACAACAGCAGGACCGGTGACTGCTCCGAGCCACCGCAGCAGCACTAGCCTAAGAGCAGCAACATTTTTTGCTGCCTACGTTAAGAGTCATTTCCTTTTTTTTTTTTTTTAAGATTTATTCATTTTATTGGAAAGTAAGATATACAGAGAAGAGGAGAGACAGAGAGGAAAATCTTCTGTTGATTCACTCCCCAAGCGGCTGCAACGGCCAGAGCTGAGTCAATCCGAAGCCAGGAGCCAGGAGTTCTTCTGGGTCTCCCATGCGGGCGCAGAGTCCCAAGGCGTTGGGCCGTCCTCAACTGCTTTCCCAGGACACAAGCAGGGAGCTGGATGGGAAGTGGAGCCGCGAGGGACATGAGCTGGTGCCCATATGGGATCCTGGTGTGCAAGGCAAGGACTTCAGCTGCTAGGCTACCAGGTCTGATGCTGTTGTTTTTTTATTGTATCATGTCATAAGGGTTATGAGGTACATGAGATTTTAATGTTTTTACTAACAATGCTAACTTACACTTATTAAGACTCAGCCAGATTTCTCCGCTATAGTATTATAACCTTCCCCTTTTAATTAAGTATTTTATGGGGCCTGGTGCAACAGCCTAGCAGCTAAAGTTCTGGCCTTTCACACACTGGGATCCCATATGGGCGCTGGTTCTAACCTGGCAGCTGCGCTTCCCATCCAGCCCCTACTTGTGGCCTGGGAAAGCAGTTGAGGACGGCCCAAGACCTAGGGACCCTGTACTCAAGTGAGAGATCCAGAAGAAGTTCCTGGCTCCTGGCTTCGGATTGGCGCAGCACCAGCCGTTGCAGTCACTTGGGGAGTGAATCATCGGACGGAAGATCTTCCTCTCTGTCTCTCTGCTTCGCTGTTATCTGCCTTTCCAACAAAAATAAATAAATCTTTTTTTTTTTTTTAAAATAAACATTTTATGAAAGAAAAGCTGTATAATTCACAAAACTTGCAAATGTGACATCATATTTTCACCCATTTCTTTCAGCCTCCATTGGTGATTCTTGCCTCCAAAATTTAGTGCTGTGATTTTTCCAAATGGTGATTTTTTTTCTACTTTGATTATTCTTTCTATATTTCCCAATTTTAATTCTATTAAGCAGCCTATGAAACTGTGTCACATAATGCAATGTAATTAATAAAAAATACATTAAAAATATTTTTAAAATTAAAAAAACGATTAAAAAATTTTATTAAGCAAGAGCTTCCCCTTCATTCCATAACTAGCGTAACATATCTATCACTGACTTCACTGCTCAAGCTGTCCTAAGTTTTGCAGTCTAGATTTTTTCCTTATCAACTGCCTTCTATAGCCTTTCAATATACTCCCTTTTGAGCATTTCCCATTTTCTGGCAACACAAAATGTCCCAATTCATCTTGTATGTACTTTCATGCCCTGATCCTAAAATCAGCCATTTCTCCAAAGACCCTTGACTCTTCTCATTGGAGAACACTGTGCAGAAATCAAGGCTGGAGGGGCTGGCACAGTGGAGCAGGGCATTAAGTGCCCCCTGGTTTGGGTCCCAGCTGCTTCACTTCTGATGCAGCTTCCTGAATCTACCTGTGGCAAAGCAGAGAAGGATGGGTTACGTGCTTCGCTCCCTGCTCCCACGTGGGGAGACCTGGAAGAAGTCCCTGGCTTCGGACAGAGCAGCTGTGACTGACCAGCTGGCCATTTGGAGAGTGAAACAGCAGATGAAAGATCTCTGACTCTCCTCTCTATAATTCTGTCTTTCAAATAAAAATCTTAAGAAAAACAAAAAGAAATCAAGATAGGAGGTACTAAATAGTTAATGATTATAAGGCCTTTCAAAGGCCTTAGAAAAATAGGGATTCCTGACACGCATGGACAAATCTCTTCTTCAATTTATTTTTGCTTATTTTGTGACGTCTATATTCAAACCCGCACACACACGTAACTCTAATCCCTACTCAGCACACAGCTCATTCCAGCAAGCCCCTCAGTGTTTGTAATGCTTCTCCTGAGAGTCAGGATCCTGCTGCTTATCACAAATGAAAGATTTATATAGGTGCTCAATTCTAAAATACATATATAAGTAAATAAGTGAGAGGAAGGCTGCTAGGGCATGCTTCTGGTAAATTACTCTAATTAAAAAGGGATACACGTGGGGTTGGCATTGTGGTGTAGCAAGTTAAGCTGCCGTTCACAATGCTGGCATCCACTCTGAGTGCTGGTTCACGCCTTGGCTGCTTCATTTCCAATCTAGCTGCAAGTCATGGCCTAGGAGCCATTTAAGAGGCCTAGTCCCCTGCCACCCACATGGGAGACTGGATGCAGCTCCTCTCTTCCTCTCTGGCCTGGCTCATCACTGGTACCGTGGCAGCCTGGTAAGTGAACCAGCACGTGGAAGAGCACTTCCTTTCTCTCACTCTCTACTCTGTAACTTTCAGATAAATAAACAGATGTTAACAAGAGAGAGAAAGAGAGAGAGAGAAGACACTGATGTTAAGTTTTGACTAGAATGATGTTGGCCATCTTGCCAACCTTCAGTGAATCCTCTAAGACGGAAAGTAGGGTGCTAACAATGGCAAACGAGGAAGAATCTGGGCCTTCGAGGATCCCGAGTCACTGATTAACCATTCTGGAATGCCCTTACTTTAGGCCTTCTATGGGAAACAATCCACCTCCCTTTCTAGGAAAGTAAACTTTGGATTGCTCTTGTTTTTCACAGTAACAAAACATCCTACTTTAAAAACATGCTAGCTTTACTGCTTAGAAAAGGCTTCATGTCTTCTGTAAGTAAAGAAATCTGTCTCAACTGAGGGAACTAAAGAGTTTTATCACAGAAATAGCTACTCTGTTTAAAATGATGTCTCCAAGGTAGAAACACAGACACTTAGAACAACACAAAACGTTTAAAACCACTGGTAATTAAGAATAACAACAAGTAATTTTAACTGTATACACTGCCTATTTCAGATTCCTGAATCTAGATATTCCAGAGAAGCATGAGTAAAATCTGTTCCTTAAAAAAAGTAACAATTCAGAATCCTCTGGTAATTTCTTGGAACACACATTTAGTTTTCCTTCCTCTCTTCTTGCCTTCCTTTCTTTCTGTCTCTGTCTGTCTAACCCCCTCTCCCTTTCCTCCTTCCAAAGTTTTGAAATCCTAGAATTATTATTCTTTCCTTTTGGTAGTATCGCACATCTCAGGTGTTAAAATAGATGAGAAAACAATGCTGTTGTCAGGCACACCAGGAGGAGGTAACGGGGTAGGCATTTGGCTTACAACTTACAATGTCACCTAGGAGGCCCACAGCCCATGAGATACTATCTGGGTTCAAGTCCCTACTCTGCTCCTAATTTAAACTTCCTATAAAGTTCCTGTAATGTGCAGGTGGTGATGGCTTGACTGGCTGGTGTGACACACTCACACAGGAGACCTGGACTGAGTTCTGCCACCTGATTTTTGGCCTGGTTCAGCCTTGCATTGTGTGTGTAATTGGGGAGTAAACCAGTGGATGGGAACTTTGTACATGTATGTTTCACATAAATTAACTATAATAAAAGATGAGTTAACAGATTAGTTCTCAACTTAATAAAAATGAAAAAAGCAACATGTAAAAATGCAAATAAACATATGCAAACTCTAAGACTATAACCAAAAATACAAAAGTATTCTCTTTACTGTTTAATTTTGAAATAATCAGTGTCAATCATGCAAAGCTCACACTAAGCTGATTTCTTTAAAATTAAGACACTGAGGTCAAATACGGCATGAGTATCACTTATTTCATAATGAGATATTAGTGTTATACTCTAATACTTACAAAATTCGTTCCTTTTTCAGTTTGGTTACTTTTACTTGTAAACCTGAAAAATAAAAAGAGAAAATTGTATTATTTCATTTACACCTTTTACTATTTTTAAAGCAGTCATCCAGATGCACAAGTCAAATTCTACAGCATTAAATCACTTCAATCTTCAATCTGGTCCCTGAAGAAGGAACCAGGTCCATTTGTGTGCAGAGTACATTCCCCTTACTTTTACCCTGAGGTAACATAATACAGATAACATTACTGCTCTTATTGTATTATAGGATAACCAAGTAGAAAGAAGTTCTCTGCACTTAAGGTGAGTTACTTCCTTTCTAACACCAGGGGCAAGCATATAATTAGAAGTTCACTATAAATGAAGGTCTATGTTCTGGCACAGCCCATGTATCTGCTAACAGCAACAGTATTTATGTAGGATCAAGTCTTCTGGGATTAAACCAGATTGTGGCAGGAAGTCCAACGCTAGGAACACAATTGCTTGAAAAAGTAGTTAACACAGGACAGTAATGTACTCATGTCATGGGATCTGCTCTTTCTAATAGAACCTCAGAGTAAAGAGCAAAAATTGAATTAGAAGATGTTTAATTTGGTGCCAACAAAGTTGAAAGTCATGCACAAGTATTTATTGGAAAGGCAGAGTTATGAGACACAGAGAGAATCTTCCAACCACTGGCTCACTCACAAAATGGCCACAATGACTGGCGCTGGGTCAGGCCAAAGCCAGGACCCAGAAGCCTGGAACTCCATCTGGGTGGCAGGGGCAAAAACTTGTACCATTCTCCACTACTTTCCCAGGTGCATAAACAGGAAGCTGGATAGGAAGTGGAACAGCTGGGACTCAAACCAACCATCGCATGGAACACCAGCACAGACAGTAGCTTAACTCATTGTGCCACAACACTGGCAGCACATGCAGTTTTAAAAAATAGTATATATTTTCCATGAACATCTAGTAGATTTTCTCACATTTTTAAAGATCTTACTTACTTGAGAGGGAGAGAGAGGGAGAAGGCAAGGGCGAGACAGTGAGAGAAATCTGTTATCTACTGGGTCGCCCTCCCAGTTGGTCACAAGAGCCAGCACTGGAGGTAGGCCAGGAAGCAGGAAATCCATTTTGGTCTCCCACAAAAGCAACAGGGATTCAAGTGCATGATTCATCATTCTGCACTTCCAGGAGTTTTAGCAGGAGCCAGAATGAAAGTGGAGTAGCTAGAACTCAAACAGCACTCCAATATGGGATCTGGGCATCCCACATAGAGGCTTAACCCATTAGACCACTGTGCCAGAGTGCCCATCCTTAAATCAGAAAAAACTATACAGAAATGGAGAAGAGATTACAGGAGGCCAGAGGGGTAGAGTGGGAGAAATATGGCTGGATAGGTGAGTGAGTGACATAAGGGATCCGTGGTGGTAGTTACAGGATCTACATGTGATTAAACTACACAGAACTAAATACACACACATAAGCATATGCTGCAAAAACACACATAAATGTGTGTACTCACAGAACCTATGTCAATGCTGAAGCACAGAGGGTTAAGTCTCTATCTGCTATGCTGGTATTCCACATCTGCAATGGTTCAAATTAGGCTACACCACTTTGATCCAGTTAATGTAACTGCGGGAGCTGCAGAAGATGGTCCAAGAACTTGAAAAAACAGACGAGAGTTCAAAGCTCCTGGTTTTGGCCCAGTCCAGCTCTGCTTATTACAGCGACTTGGGGAGTAAACCAGCAGAGAGAAGATTTTTTTTTTCTCTCTCCCTCCAATTAAGTGAATCTTAAATGGGAAGGGAGGGGGAGCTGGAATCTATACAAAGCTAGCAGACTGTACTAATATCACTTTCTTAGTTGTGATAATTCACTATACTTATGTAAGAACATTTCAAAAGATCAAAGGAAAAATGGAATTAAGTATATTTTGGTACAAAAATTTTGAAGCCCGTGCATATGCAATCTTCAAAAGTTAATGAAAAAGGGGAAAATGTGTATGATTTATAGAGTTCAAAATTTTCTTGCAGCAAAATAAAGTTATCTTTCAATCACTTTCTAGTCACAAATGTTTTGGAGTGCCTTATAAAGACGCTCCCTGGGGAGAGCTGAATGGGCACATCAGAGCTCTATGTATTAAATTTCTTCTTTTTTTCTTTTTGTACTTATACCATCTCTCTCCCTTCTTTGCACGACTTCTTATAACTCAAAATAAAGATGTTTTAAATTATGAAAAATCATTTGCCCTAAAAGATCTGGAGAACTGCTAGCACATGAAAAATAATACATTTTGTTTAAAAAGTTGAATAAAAACTGGCATGACTTAAAAAAAAATCATTTCCATTTGTCTAATTCCCACCCGAGACAACTCTCTCTCTTTCAAGTAAAGATGACAACTTCATAAGACCTTCTAAGTACTTGGAGGAAAGCATTAAACTGTTCTTGAAGAATTAAGAACTTGCGGCCATACTAGGTCAAAGAGTAGAGTCAGCAGTTTTTTCTTTCCTCTTCCTAAAATGTGTGAAAATTGGCACATTGTTGTTTCTTGTTTTGGATGACTCCTAAAACTTGGTTCTGCTTTCAAAAGTGAAAAGTGCAGCCGAAGATGAGATGGATTCTTGCCATGAGCCATTTAAAGAAAAGAAACAATGAGATAGAAAATCCATATAAACTTCAAAAGGAAATTCTTAGGAAATATGGAAAGACGAGCCTTTTATCTTACAAGGATTCAACACCTGTGAGGTATTTGTTCTGTCACGCAGCTCAGGCCTGAAATGGGTATTATGTATGCATATGTGAGTGTGAGTTTAAATTTTAGCATCTGCTATTCATCAAGTCAATTAGGCATCTACAATTAGAACCCCTATAAAGTGTGCTTTAATCCTGTTCCACACCCATCGGAAGGAATGAGGCTATACAACAATGTGGCTCCTGTATGAACAGGTAGTCTGTTCAACAAAGTATTTGGGATTGTAACACTGGCAATATGAGACATCTAGTGAAGAAACACAGCGCCAAAGGAGCACTGTGATACATTTAACCCTACCTCTCCTCACACGCAATTCTAAAGGAGCAATTCTAGAGGAACTGCAGCCCTCAACGGCCTACACAAGCAGGGATAATATACCTGAGCTCAGAAATGAGGGGAGAATCTGATCTGTTATACATAAACAAAAATATCTGCTATGATAACTCATTTGAGTTCTCTACACAGAACCTTTTTTTTTAAAATCTATATATGTTCGCTTTAAGTTATTTATGGCTTTGAATTATAAATAACAAATACTATTAGGGTACTTTTTGACAATAGTGGCTTTATATCCAGATAAAGTAATTTAACTTATACCAATACTACTGGCAGTATTTATCTAATTTCAATTCGAAAGTGAAAACTCTTGTCTTAATACAATGCAATCGTATTTAAGGATTGCGTTCCCTTTGCCTCAGATTTAATCAACTTAAATTGGGGGAAATGGATATACAGATGCAAATGTAAATAAAAAACAGCAGTGAGTGCTACTGACACCATTCCTAATAATGTGTAGGAAACTGAAGAGGTGGATGGAAAGTGCATGTAATTTCTTTCATTACAAATTTGTGTAGTCTGATGTGAAGGTCTTCTTTTTGAAATTTTGATTATATATCTGAGAAAATAAAAGGAGTAATCCAAAACTGAATTGTGGTGCTTATTCTGTCACAATAGAGCTTTCAAAAGGAAATATTACACCACATATTTCTCTATGAACATGATTATCACATTTGCCAGACATGGAAAATACATACATTGGATACCAATGATAGAATCTGACATGACCAAAACACCTCTTACTAAATTAGTGGTGTTTTTGGCCCGGCATGGTAGCCTAGTGCTAAATTCCTTGTGCCAAGATCCCATATGGGTGCTGGCTCATATCCCAGCGGCCCTGCTTCCCCTCTAGCTCCCTGCTTGTGGCCTGGGAAAGCAGCTGAGGATGGCCCAAAGCCTTGGGACCCTGCACCTGCTTGGAGATCCGGAAGAAGCTCCTAGCTCCTGGCTTAGGAACGGCTTAACTCTGGCTGTTGCAGTCACTTGGGGAGTGAATCATCGGATGGAAGATCTTCCTGTTTCTCCTCCTGTTTATCTCCGTTTCCAATAAAAATAAATCTTTAAAAACATTTTTTAAACATCAGTGGTGTTTTAAAAAGTAACTTCTAAATTCAGCTTAATAACCTGTGCTTTTAATAATAAAAATGATACTCCTGGGGTAGGTGGTATGGCATAGGAGGCTAAGCAGAGGCCTGTTGCACTGGCATACCATATGTGGTTGCCAGTTTAGTCCCAGCTGCTCCACTGTTGATCTAGCTTCGTGCTTAGGAACTGACAAAGCAGAGGCAGATGGCTCAAGTTCTTGGGTCTTTTTACCCACGTGGAGACCAGGAAGAGATTATAGGCTCCTGGTTTTGGATCAGCTCAGCTCCAGCCATTGTGGCCACTTGGGGAGAGAACCAGCAGATGGAAGGTCTTTCTTTCCTTCTCCCTGTAAATCTACCATTCCAATAAAAACTAATCAATGTTTAAAAAAAAAAAGTGCAAAACAGTATTAAAATATTTTAAAAGGCAAAAACAATGTATCTAAATTCACTTAACTAATTTTAACCCTGGCAGTAGTAGCACTGGTCATAAAAACACAGAAAATAACAGGACATTAAAATGACATCAAAGAATACAACTGTCCTAAAAATAAGTCTACAAAGTCAGTCATCGATATCTTTAGAATTTTTCCTCCAAAAATGATCTGGTAGGAAAATTACCCATCAGGGCCTGGCACAGTAGCCTAATAGCTCAATTCCTTGTCTTGTATGTGCTGGGATCCCATAAGAACCACTTTGCATCCTAGCTGCTCCACTTCCCTTCCAGATCCATGTATGCAGCCTGGAAAAGCAGTAAAGGACAGCCTAAAGCCTTGGGACCCTGCACATGCATGGGAGAACCAGAAGCTCCTGGCTTCAAATCAGCTCAGCTCTGGCCATTGCAGCAACTTGGAGAGTGAACTGGCAGACAGAATATCTTTAATATCTTTCTCTCTGTAAATCTGACTTTCCAAAAAAAAAAAAAAACCAATAAATCTTAGAGAGAAAAAAAAAAAAAAACAAAAATTGCCCACTGGTAAAATTACTCATGGATGCCTTTTGTTTATGCTTTCCATGTTTCAAAGAAATGCAGTGTAAATTGACTATGTAAACTCACTACACTGTGATCAATGCACATGCTGTTTACTACAGGACATACTTTGGATGTCATTGTGTTATTTTTCAGTCAAGTAAGAAAAAAGTACTCTGTAAACACATGAAACAGGATATCCAGATGCATGTTAGATCCTACAGGCAAATCTCCTTGGTTATCTAGTAAGAATTATGTATCTAATACTACCATTCATAACATTTCTCTCTTTTTACTGACGCACTTTAAAAGTAATGAGTCAATTTTGATTTCTATATACACTTCAAAACCTACAATGTCCAGACAAGTCCATGTTTGATGTCTTTTAAATAGCCTCTTATACTGGTTTCTCCAAGTGGATCCCACTGCTTCTTAAAAAAAGTTAAGTACCCTTTAGGCATGCCTTTGATGTTATCACACAGAGGATCTAATTTTATACCAAACTATGTGGAACACACTGACAAAGGACTAATTTTTTTTTAAAAGTCCTGCCATCAGCAAATTATGTTTGCCTCGAACCAAAAGGTTTTCAAATTACATTAATTTATTTTAAGAAATAATGCTTATTCACTGAACATCTTCAAGAATTTTTAAGTAGAGTTAGAATTGTGGAGAGCTGAAATAAGCTACCACTTAGGAATCCAGCATCCCATACCAAGGCACAGATTAGTCCAATTCTGATCCAGCTCCCTGCTAATGCACCTGGGAAGGGAGAAGCTGGCCCAACAGTTGAATCCCTGTCACCCACACAAAAGACTCACGTAGGAGTTCCTGGAGCTTGACTTCATCCAGCCTGGTCTAGCCCCTAGCCATGTGACCTTTTGAGAAGTGAACCAGGGGAGGCAAGATCTCTCTGTATCTCTCCCTATCACTGACTTCCAAATAAATAAATCTTTAACATAATAAAATTCATAAGTAATTTGAAATTTGGAAAAGTGGTATGACACCAAGAATTATTTTCTTTCATCAAGTGATATAGATGCAGTGTCATAGACCTAAGATTCTAATCATATAAATTAACAACTGCTATTTCTCAGTTTGTCAAACTATTAAAGCATAGCACACAATTCAAAGAAGTATTTACAATGTATCTGTGAGTTTTATATGCATATATTCTGTAATTCTGATCAACAGTGTCACATCCCATATGGCTGTGTTTGATCCTAACTGCACCACTTCTGACCTAGCTTCCAGTTACTGTCCCTGGGAAAAGCAGAGGTAGATGGCCTAACTGCTGGAGTTCCTGCATCCAAGAGGGTGACAGGAAGAATTTCCTGGCTTCCGGTTGGCTCAGCTCCAGCCTTTGTGACCATTTAGGGAGTGAACCAGGAGATGGAAGATCTGTCTTTCCTCTTTCTATAAATCTGCCTTTCAAATAAAAATAAATAATTCTTTTAAAAAATGCAGAGGATGTTAAATACCAACTCTGTAAAAACTACAATTCAGAGCTAGAAACTTTCATGGCAGTTGGAGAATACAAAATTAACATGCAAAACAGCAACAACACCACCACCACCACCACCATCACAAGTCTTAGAGAGGGTCAGTGTTACAGCATAGTGGATAAGGCCATTGCCTGCCAATACTAGCATCCCATAGAGGCAATGGTTTGTATTAGCTTCCTGCTGATGGCTTGGGAAAAGTAGCGGAGGACGGTCCAATCATTTGGGCTCCTGCTACACATGTGGGAGACCTGGATGAAGCTCCTGGCTTCTGCCTTGTTCAGCCCTGGTCATTGTGGCCATCTGGGGAGTGACTATCTCTGCAACTCTAGACTCCCAAATCAATAAATCAATTTCAAAAATTAGTTGTTTCTCTAACTTAACATGTACAATCTGAAAGGGAAATTAAGAACTCTATTTGCAATAGCGTCAAAACGAACAAAATACGTAACAGGTATCACCAAGAAAACGGAAGATTTTTACACTGAAGAGTACAAAATCATGAAGAAAATTACAGAAGATATCAATAAGTGGAAAGCCATTCCATGTTCACGTTTTAGAAGATTTACTAGCAAGATGTCAATGGCATCCAAAGTAATCTGTAGATTCGCTATAAACTCTATTAAAATCCTAACAGTCCTTGCAGAAATAGAAAAATCTGTCCTAAAATTCATACACAACCCCAAGATTTCTGAAAGGCCAACATAACCTTGAAAAAGAACAAGATTGGAAACTTAACAGTTTGATTTCAAAACTTACCACAAAGTTACAGAAACCAAAACACTGTGTACTATCAGAAACACAGACCTGTAAATCAACAGAATAGAACAGAGAGGGTAGGGAAAAACCCTTATACATAAGGTCAAATAATTTTTTCTGGCATTAGCTTTCTGATTTCATTTTACTTATTTATTTTTTTTTTTTATAATCTTTACATAGTTGATTAGGGCACAAAGGGTTACAGGAAGGGTCAAATAATTTTTTAAAATTTGGTTTCTTTTATCTACTTGAAAGGCAGAGAATAAACCTCCCCCTGTTGATTCCCTCACCAGGCTGAAGCCTGGATTCCCACATGCATGGAGGGGCTACAGCTGTCACCTGTGCCCTCCCAGGCTGTATGCCACAATGCTTGCCCATGATTTGAGGCAAGGATACAAAACTATCCAAAAGGGAAAGGACAGTATTTTTAACAAATGACGCTGGAAAAATCAGATATTCATATGAAAAGAATGCAGCTGCGCATCTATTTCACTTCCTCCTTGTCCAAAAACCAAATGTAAGACTAAGAATTTCCTAAATTATCTTAACCAGTCAAATTCTATTTTCTTTGCTGTTTCCTCCTAGAGACCAAAACTGATAAGGGAGATCATAGAAAGTAATTAACATGTGAAACTTCAAGTCTGCTGCGGTCGTCTTGGCAGGGCTTAATGATTCTGCCAGTCTTATGTGTGGTCAGTATGCCAGATGTTCCCCACCTGACTGAAGACTTACCTTGAACTTCTTTATCATGACACTCTTTTAGTTTAGTCCACAAATCTTTGAAGTCATTAGATATATCTGCAGAATTAGGGCTTCCACAACTGCTTCCAGAGAGGTTCATTGTGCTTGAAATGCTCCTCAGTTCTTTTTGTTTAGTGTTTTCTGATCTTTTTCTGTTACATTATATACTTGTGCACTTGTCCTTGGACAGCTGAAATGCCTGAAATGACAGATTCCAGTTTATAGGATGTCTTTATCTTTACGTCATTCAAAATTAGGATGAAGCACAAGCCTAGCTGTTTGTGCTTTCTCCACTGCGGACAAGCAATCTTTTGGGAATTTGGAAAGGGACAGAGGAGAATGCGAAAAGACAATTACAAGGACAAAAACTCAGATCCCAGTTATTTGGTCTTTATGAAAGGTTATCTTACAGCCAAATTTTCTCTTACAGAAAAAAAATTATTTTATGTATTTATATTAAACTGAAGGGATTCTGCTTTTGAGAGGTTTTTACTCTTGCCATACTGCATCTATCTCTAAGCTTGAACTGATGGATGACACAACATACTAAATAAAAATTGGAGAACACCTTAAAACATTATTCCACATACACAGATGTATTTTTATAGAAACAAGACAGAGGACCCTTACATCTGCACACAGCAGGATCAGCTTTCTGAGGACAAATCAATAAGATACAGGCACTGTACAAACCTATGAATATAGAAACATATTTAGAGGCATACTACTTTGTGTGTCTGAGTAAAAATGAGTGAGTTCACTACTTACATAGTAACTACTGAAGGAAACAACAGGCTATCAAGTTCAAGAGGATTGATACATATTGAATAACAAGTATTCTTAACCTAAAAAAATTTAACTAGTTACCATTTAAAAAAAAATGATTAAGGGGCCTGAAAAGATGTAGAAATCTAATCCTCTGCCCCAGCACCAGCACCTCTTAGTGGCGCTATGTCTCCGCTGCTCCACTTCCCATCCAGCTCCCTGCCCGTGGCAGGGCACGCACTGGAGGACAGCCCAAAGCCATGGGACCTGCACCCCTGTGGGACACCTGGAGAAAGCTCCTCATTGCCAGCTTCAGACCACCCCAACTCCGGCTATAGTGGCCATTTGGGGGAGTGAACCAGTGGACGGAATTTCCCCTTCTCTCTGTAATTCTGATTTTCAAGCTAAATAAATAAATACATAAAGAAAGAAATAAATAGTAAGTTAAACCTCACCATTTGGCTCCTTAGCAATGCCCTAACTTTGCCCAAACTGACACTAGGTGTCTCTTGCTATTTATCAAGGTATCTGATAAACGAGCTAAAAATAAGTAATAACATTTAAAAAGCCACTTGGTAGTACACTGTAAGTCACAACAGAATACGTACTTTTTTTTCTAAAGATTTAGTTATTTGTACTGCAAAGTCAGATATACAGAGAAGAAAGACAAGAGAGGAAGATCTTCTGCCCGATGATTCATTCCCCAAGTGACTGCAACCGCTGGAGCTGCACTGATTCTAAGCCAGGAGCCCGGAGCCTCTTCCAGGTCTCCCACGTGGGTGCAGGATTCCAAAGCATTGGGCCGTCCTCGACTGCCTTCCCAGACCACAAGCAGGGAGCTGGATAGGAAGTAGGGCTGCCAGGATAGGAACTTGCATACATATGGGATCCCGGTGCCTTCAAGGCCGGGACTTTAGCCACGAGGCTACCATCCCTGGAGCGAATCAGCATAATCTCAAAAGAAAAAAGTAAAAACTACATGCTTGTATTATTATCAGTAAAAGGCACCATACATGTTTAATAAACAGGGACTGTGCAGGCTTACATCATTTTCCTTAATCTTCAAGCCAACTAGCAAACAGTTCCTAATACCCATTTCATTCTGCAGCTAGGGAAGCAGGCGTAAGATTAAATGGCTCGCCCACGGTGACAGCTAGGACTCAGCTGGGACTCAGACATGAGACTAACAACTGTAAAATATTTGTGGCAGAGCAACGTCGAAAGCAAACACATGATTTTTATTTAACATCGGTCTAATTAGTAATTTAAAACACCTCAGTATATTGAACGTCAAGAGTGTAAAACAAAAACAGGTGTCTAATTTTTTTCTTAACCACAAGAAAATCATCATCAATCCCAAACTCGTTCCAGTTGTTTTACAAAACCCTGCCCCCTAAGCCACCTGCCCAGCTCTCTTGACCGGCAATTCTTTGCGTCCTAAAACGTTAACTCGCTCCACAAAGCATCCAGATCTTTAAGCAACGTACATCCTTGTCCCCACAAGCAGCATCCCGGGCTCGGAAAGCTTGTCATCCTTTGACGCCTTTTTCCGTGTCAGAACCCCACTGACGGTGAGCGAGGCGAGGGCGCTCCCGCCGGGAAGAGACCCGCCCAGGGCCTCGGTGCGGTCCCCTCGCGGGCCACGCTGCCGCCCCGCGCCCCGTCCCTCCCGGCCCGCAGGTACCGAGCGCGGGAGCCCGGGACAAGCCGCCCGGACAGCGTCCGAAAAGCGCGCGGGGCGAGCGGCGCCTGCGCGGGGCGGGCTCGGCGCCGGGAGGCGTTCCCCTGAGCGCGCGCGGGAGACCCGGACACAGTCGGCTGCGCGAGCCCGCTTCCCGCCGCCCGTCCGCTCCCACCTCGCCCAGCCCGCGCCCAGCCCGCTTCCTCGGACGCTGGCCCAGAGCCCTGCGGCCACCCCGGCTCCGAGAGCCAAACCTGTTGGCCGGGCGTGCTGGTCCACACCGGAAGTCGCCGCAGCGCACTCCGGTTAGGGGAGAAGTTTCTTCTTTTCTCACAGCTTCCAAGATGGGCCGGAGAGCCTCGAGAGCCCCAGGAGGGGGGACTGCGGGGGAAGCAGGCACCCTCCTGGGGCTGCGGAGGGAGGGACGGCCGCGGCTTCGCTCCACTTCCCGCCCGGCTGCCTCAGCCTCAGGCGGGGGCGGCCTGCACTTCCCGGGGGTGGGCGAAGGCCCGAGGGCGGCCGGCCGCGCGCCGAGATGGCCGGCCCCGCCCCCGCGGGCGCCCTGCCGACGTCACGCGGGAGTTCTCGTCGCGTCACGCCCCTTCTGGGGCAGCAGCCCTCTCCTCAGGCCCGCGCTCGGTGCAGAGCCGGCCGGGGCTCGTCGCCCCTTCTCGGGCGGCAGCCATCTCCGCAGGCCGGCGCTTTGGGACAGACCCTGCCTTTCTAAGGAAGGTGGCCTGAAGGGAATTGCAGCCGCCGAGGGAGCGCGAGGTCCCTGATAACAGTGTGTGTGTGTGTGGCGGTTACCTTAAGTGTGTGCGACTGAAAACGCAGGTCAGGGATTGTCTCCTGCGTGACGGGACCCGATGGAGAATAAAATTGGTCCGCTCGGGAACGGGCGCGGACTGAGCGACCACAGTTCTCGGCTGTATTACGTCATTACCTGCGGTTGAGCGATGCAACCTGACAGGTCTGGTTGGCCACGCCGGTGTCTCAAAACGGTGTTTTTATATTTTGTTTTGCTGAGGTGAAATGGAAAAGTTCTCCCAAACCTGAAATGAGAAGGAATCAGAAACGACCCACATTATTTGTTGGAGCAGCATACTGTTGAGGGAATGTTTTCCCAAGCCAGGCACATTTTCTTTTGGTTGTTTAATAGACTGAGTGTGTTGTGCCATTTATCTTGATTTTCTAAATTTTTTTAGACCATTAAAAGTACATACTTTTTTGGTAGTACTTGTAAGACCTGGGAGAAAGGCTGGGGGTCTTATTATAAACTTAAAAATGAAGCACAGTGGCAGAAATACAAAGCATAAAGGTAATTTGCCCCACCGTCCCCGATTGGAAAGGATGGCTCAATATCCCGACTTCTTGGAATTGGCCAATAAGACGTCTATTCTAGCACTGCCCTTCATTGCCCTGTGATACTGTGCATTCATTTCCAAGTCTTGTGAGGCATCATAACGCTTTTTAAAGGTTTGTAGTGGAAAGGGGGAGTTTTGTTAGAAATGCAGAGAGCTAACCATGAGTGTTGATTAACAGCCTCCAGAAGGAACAGTGTTCTTGCAAGGAAAACAGGGGAATGCCTTAGCCTGTCCCTGATGGCTTCCACCAGGCTCACACCCAACCCATTTGTAGAAGTCAGACTCTAAAAGACTGACTTGACACTTCTGCCTGAATCTCCAACATGCAATCCATTGCCAAGTCCTATCTTATCAATCATCTAAACCCATCCTCTGCCCTCTGGCTTCATAATCCAGAGTAGCCTTATCTCTTCCCTAAATTACGTTTACCCAACCAGCTGTCTCACCTAACCCTTTGTCTTTAAGTTGTGCTCATAAAACTTGAGCATCTAGTCCTGATTTATGTGTATATTTGATTTTTTTAATTGTATGCATGTATTAGTTGGAAGCTGGTACATTTTACTGAGTTCCATGCTCTGGAAGCAGACCTGCTCGGTTTAGATCCTGCTCCAGTAGTTTCCTAACAGTGACCATGGCCTTTCTGCTTAATTTTTCTGTCTCTTTTTTTTTTTTTTTTACTTCTACTTGTAAAATGAAATTAGTGAGAATATCAGCTTGACAGAGTATGAAAATCAATAACACATGTAAACAAATTTATAGTGTTTATGTACATAGTCTATACTTAATAAAAGCTAGCTGTAAGTAGCACTTTGGTGCTAATACACTGAAATTTTGTTAAACTTTAAGGACATTTTTTGAAAGATAAAAAAAGGAGAATAGAACATCTCATCTCGAGGTATACCTACCTTGAGATCACTTTTCTAAATCTGTGATTTTGAAAAGTAAACCTGATACTGTCGCTGCTTCTTAAATCCCTTCAGTGGCTTCCTGTAACGGATGAAAGCCCCGTTTGTACTGCTGGAACTGACTCTGCAACTTAGTTTGCAAACAATTTCCATCCTGTGGCCTCGCTGGCTTTTCTAGTATCTGCCAAGCGATTGCATTCTCCTGCCATTGCCTGTAGTTCCCCACAAACCTACCTTCCCCTTTACCTGCCTACATACTGTAATCATCTTGTTATCTTTTTCCTTTAGTTCTACAAGATGCTCTTGTAACACCACACATATCTCCCATGTGTTACCTCGTACTGTTTTAGTTGTTTAGTCTCTCCAGTAGACTAAGTTTCTTTAGGCCAAAAACCATATTTTATTTGTTTTTATCTCCAGAAACTAATCAAGTGCCTACCAGTGTCAGTACTCTGTATAAATGAATGAACTGGGCATCTCTTGGTGGATTTCTGTTTTTCATGTAAGTGACAATCTTTGAATATGTGCAAAATTCTTAGTCTTTTAAAATTAGACTTTATAATGACTGGTTGAACAGTGGGATGGTGGATGTATTCATAAATTTTGTCTCCAGCAAAGAGCTGTAAGATCCATTTGATGAAAAAAATTATAAAATCCCAAAGATCTGCTGAAAAAAAAATCTTTACCAGAGAAAATTACATTGGACAACTAGGCGTCTCTTCTGATAACTCCACAGCCTTTTCCATTTTGGCATGTTTAGGTAGTGAACACAGCCATGAGTGTTAGATAGGTGATGGAACAGAGCTGCTTTCCATCCAGACCCAAGTTAGGGCTCTAATGTGTGTCAGGCCCTGCACTGCCACCTTCAGGCCTGGGCCTTCTATGTCCCGGCACTGCTATTGGAGGCCTCCAGTTAGCATGCTTGACTTAAACATAAAGTGTATGTTTCATATGTTTAATCACAACTTTAAAAACTGTGTGATGGCAGACACCCTAACCTCCTGATTGAACAAGAAAATTATGCTCAACAGATGTTATCTTTTAAATTTCTCTTTGCCTTTCTCAACTCCATGAATTTGGTGAAGCATTTTTCAGATTAAAAATACAACTGAAATCCAGCCACTGCTCACCAACTCACTGCATGCACCTGGTTCATGTCAATCAAGCAATGGCAATAGCCTCTTTAAAAAAATCAATTATCTTTTGGCTTCCTCTATTCTACCCTTACAGTGTATTCTCTAATGGTAATCAGAGTGGCTCTTTAAAGGTTTGTTGAAACATCACTTTCTCCTGCCCAAAATATTCCAGGATCTTCTCATTACCTTGGATTTAAACTCCTTTCCAAGGAGTCAGAGCAAATCCGTCACTGTTTGCTACTGATGCTATCTCCTAAATGTAGTTTGGACTTTGTGCTTTTCTTTCTACCTCACTCATATTGGGTTTTGACGTGACAGCCTCTTTGCTTCCTGTCTTCTCCCCAAACGAGTTTCCATACAGTTGCTCCAGATGCAACCCATTATTTCTTTTTTGTTTTTAAGATTTATTTATTTTTACTGGAAAGGCGGATGTACAGAGAGGAGGAGAGACAGAGAGGAAGATCGGCATAGCATTGGCCGTTGCATTCACTTGGGGAGTGAATCATCGGATGGAAGATCCTCTCTGTATATCCGCCTTTCCCATAAAAATAAAAATAAATCTTTAAAAAAAAATACCACAGAGGAAAAAAAAATACCACAGAGACTGTCCATATTTTCTACTATATGTTCAGTCAATCCTAAAATGCCACTGAAATAGTTCATATTTCTACCATATACTTTGCCCTTTCCCTGTAGTAACAGGAAGCTGCTTTTATTCCTGTCTCCTCCCCTTTGCTATTTCTTTGTCTTGGCTCATGTAATCCATTTATCTTGCCGGTATCTCCACCCCCATGTTTTTTACACGTCACTTTTCTTCTTACCCTGTAAGACTTGGGTCATACCTCTTCCTGGAGACTAACCTGACATCTCTCTTCACTCTTTCCTGTCTGCTTCCATTAATGCCCCCACCCCATCCTTTTACAGCATATTTTTTAACACTGTACTTAGGGACATTATAATAATTTTTATGTTTTTTATCTTCAAATAGAGTGGACTTCTTCATATCAGACACCATGCTTTATAATGTTCAGGTTTTTAAAAATGCTTAGCATAAAACTAACTCATAGAATCATAAATAATTTTGAATTTCCTAGTAACCAAAGAAAATAAGGAACAGGTGAAATTAATTTATATTTTACTTAATTTGCCTAACATTTACATGTAATCAATTAAAAGTTAATAAGATTTTCTATATCCTTTTCCTTCACATTTGTCTTCCAAATCTCATGTGTGTTTCACCTCAATGGCATATCTCAAAGCAGACTAGCCACATTTCAAGTGTTCAATGCCACACATGAACAGTGGCCACTGGATTGATCAATCATATATAATAAACAAATAGATATTCAAAGGGAAATTAAGGTTTTGTGATTTATCCAAAAACAAGATGGATTTGGCAGTAGGATCCCACTATTTCTGACATTTGTGCTGGATGTTTCCCAGCTCTCTCCCATTTCCCGCTCACCCCTCTAATTGAGGGCCTGAGTAGGTTGTTAAACCCATTACCATTTACATCGTATCTTCTAGCGCCTATAGCACAAGCCCACACTACTGGTAAACTGAGGTCAACTGTTACTTGGGCAGTCAGAGCTAAATAACAGGACAAAGGCTGAGAGATGAGGGGAGGAAAAGTTCTAAAACAAAAGAAAGTGTTAATTGTCAGTATTTCTGCCAGCTTAAATGAACCCTTGATTTAATTCTTAAAAACTTGTTTACAGTAATTAGTAAGTGATGTTTGTGGGTGGGTGAATACATCATTCAGTGATCTTGCTGCTTGTGCCAAAATGCTTTGTTTATGATTAGCCTTGATGGTGCCAAGATTCCAGTTAGGTTGAACTGTTTTATAATTGTTTTTAAATATATTTAACATTCATGGAGGATGTCAGTAACACAGTTTTTATTTTGACAGTCTTAAGGGTTCATTCAAGTACCTATAATAGACATTTAAGATTACACATTACTTTCCAATTACAGTAACTTCATGTAATCTGTCCAATTTCTAAGATAAAG